GCCGCGCCGGGTCCGAACATTTCCCCAATGATTTGGCAACTCGCCCCCGCCTATATTTAAATCGTAATCTTACTGAGTCAACGCTCTCGTCGCTCTAACACTCAAAATAAACGATGCCGCGAAGACGACAGTATTCGACCGAGTTCTGAATAGCAACAATGCATACAGGCCACGTATACTGTTCTAATAAATGGCATTAAGATCAAGGACCCGAAAATTCATAGCTATTCAGTCTATTAAAAAATATAAATATTATCTTAATATGATCTGTAACAAATATATATTTATTGTGATTACATATTACATAGAAATCTTCGCTTCTGACCTATAAATATAATGGAGACGAAGATACAAAAATTTATAAAAATATTTAAAAATAGATCCAAAATTAGTAAAATATATAACGAATATACAAGAACAATGCCTCAGTAGACGCATCAATTATCTAGTAATTATGCATTGAGTCAAGAGTGGAGGCACATTGAGACATTTTTATGCTATTAAATATAATTATTCAATGGCATATAAAATTGAACTACTTATAATTTTCAAACATATTTACATCCTAACCGATATTAAGTAAACGATCTTGTATAAGTAATGGACACCATAGCCCATAACTGCGGGGAATATATCAAGTATCACTCGCTTCTTCTTCACAATTCAATAAGAATTTCGAATCACAGAGCTCTGTAATATTACTTATTCTTCATACCGCTGCTGAATCTCAGCATACAAACAAATTACTTAGCTTAAAAAGAAATATATAAGATGTGCTCGCAGTTTGCATGTATGACGAGTATATATAACAAGTATATACATAATAGAAATGGATCTTTATTATGAACTTTAGCTATGCAGATAAAAGTAGAATTCCATTCCATCATAATTGATGCAATTTCTATTTGAATAGGTAATAACAAAGACGTCGTTATCTAATACTGTATGAAGCTATATTTGCATCACACTGAATACGAAACAATAGTTATTAAAATATGAAATACAGTGCTGATTCGAACAAATAGATCAAAAGGGTGGTAAAAAGGTGGTGGCAAATAGAGCATGCAAATAGTTAAATCAGAAATTGTACATTATGTTCTGATATTTATTTACATGCCACTCATTGCACCTCGAAATCATTAATATAACAGCTACTGCATATCTCTATATTATAGTTTCAAATATATCGGAATTATTTTCGATACTGTAATTAATCTTTATACTAACTAATTATGCAGACAAATGACCACTCTATGTTGAAATTAGATTAATTAAGATTCAAATTACTCTAAATACAGACACGAATTCATACTCTTTACAATAGTAGTGTACTTTAATATTGCATTGGAGAGTATGAAGTCAAAAGCTTATGAATAGAAATTGTCTTGCCAAAGATACCGGTACACCGGTCTTTACCAGTGACAGAACTTCGTGAAATTTTCTCGATATCACAGCTCGGTATTGATATGTACCAACCACCCTCGTTCTCAGAATAAACAATAGAGTACGTGCATTGTTTTATTTGCGCTCTGACGGATAATATTTCAAAGCAAGCGAAAAGAAGAATTGTTTATCAACAGAACATAACAAGCCTTATGGATCGATAGTTATGCAACGGATGTCATAAGCATATATAACTTATTATAGAGCAATGATGGTATATTTTCCTTCAAGATTTCTAGGTATACTAGGTGGCAAGTGAATACCATATATACCGATTTTAGGATGTATACTTTCAATTCTGACATTTATTCATTATTCTAGAGAATAAAAGTCGATAATGAAAACATACTCGTGCAAAATTAATTTTTATGTACTTTCCCGTGATATTCAAACAAATCCAATAACAACCATTTATATTGAAATAGATACTAGTAGTTGTATTGCATCGCTATATAGTTTTGCTATTTTGCGTTGGAATGTCGAAACGTGGCTTGTTCAGTTCGTGGAATTATCCGTGGCGACAGTAAGGATTCCATTGTTGAGATTCTATAGTATAGGGTTATGGAATAATGGATATCAAGAAGAAAAATTAAATATTTCTATTGTTACAAATAATAAATTCAACTGTATTTTTATGTTAGTTTTGACATAAATTAGTAGCAGTTGGTATTGGTGGCGATTTATCTAAGAGATTTTGAGTAAAATCTAAGCAAAATTAATTGATTTTATTATATTTTTGTTTGGTTATTATAGCATTAGTAACCTGCCTTCGGTTCTTCATTCATAAAAATATATGAGTATTCAGATTGCACAATTTTTATTACTCAATCACGTTTAAACGGCTTAAGAGATTTGAATTTAATTTAGTATATACATATGTGTATGCAATATTGAATTTTCTTTTATTTTGTCAAAGCTGTGGGTTACAGCTAAGACATTAGTTTCACTTAAAGCTGGATAACTATGTATACTCCTAAGTAAACCTATCATATAGAAAGGGATTGTTAATAATGCAACTAATGGCCCCATGGCTAGCAATGTACCACAGGTACAGGTACAGGCTTTGAGGTCAGGATGACCTCAAAGCAGTTACCCCTGGAAACCATCATGATAAATTACTGGTAAATTTGCCACGATGAGCTAACTAACTTCATGCTCATGTTATCATCCTCCAAAGGTGTGCCGTCAGCGTAAACCGTTAACGCACGCGGGTGCTCGATTCGATTATTATGTATTTAAAAAGAATATTTCACATTCGTAGAATCAGTCTTTAGAAATTAAATTTTATTCTAGCTCTTGAAATATCTATCATATAAACCAGACCAAATGCATGGCGAATAACTATTTTTACGCCTGTCATCATCTTACCTAGGAATATTTTATGGCTATAAGCTATTAAGACATCACTGCGTTTTATGACGGTTTATTTATTACTATGGCCATGAGCATGATCGGTTAATCCAATTTTTAAGATAGCTGCAAACAATTAATGTGTAACAAAATCTATAGATAGACCTACATATCTAATGTATTAAAAAAATATGAGAATTAACTTTTTATGCTATGTTAATACGCGTATTGTAAATATCACAGTGTGTTTGTCTGTTAATTATCTAGTCTAGTTCCGAGGTAAACTTTGTAAAGAGTCACCTGTGGGTAACTCAGTCTCGCCTATTTCAGCAGCCAAACAGTATGCTTTTGTAAGACGTCTCTCAGTTGAAGGGTAAAATATAACAGTAAAATTACAGAATAAGGCATAACACCTTAGTCTTCACAAGTGGGGTCACGGGCGTCAAATGATAACATGATGTCCGTAGTGTTGTTCATGCAGGCGCAGACGACAGTTATCTCCAGCAAGCAAACGGCCCGTCTGCTTGCTTGCCTTTCCATTTACATAAAAAAATTAGTAATATCCCATACATCTAATTACATCATACTTAAATAAACTAACATTAAAATAATTAATGCATAAAATAAATTTACAGGCTATACAACATTATATTATAAGTCAATATTTTACAGGATATGTTACTACTATTAAGTATAAGTAATTTTTTTTTTTTGCCTGAATTTAGGAGATCAATATACAAAACAAGGATATAAGATTAAACACTAAAATGATGGTTGAAATTAATAACTAAGTTATACCATTACAAATTAACATAACATCTGCATAGCCAATTTAGGAACGTCTATCAAACGTCTATCAAAATTAACAATGCACTGGCGCGCTAATGTAATGATTAAATTATTTTCAATGAATCCATTTGGCTGAAAACATAGATAACATATGACACATCAAATAACTCTATGATACACGACGCGGACAATTTGACTTTAACTTATGCAACTAAAATATAGTTAAAAACAAAATAATCAGCAATATCGAAATTCTTGGCATTATACCAACATACATCGAAAATGAGGGAAAGTTAACTACAATCTAATGCGCAACATTTTGATGTAATACAGAGAAGTGTGTTCAACGTAATTATCTCGTATTATAGTAATATAAACATTTTAATATAAACATTTTATATAGTAAGGTAATACGTACTAGAAGATGTACCTATATATAATTACTTGATACATGTATTTGTTACCGATCTCCTAAAAGCTGATTCAATTTGAATTAAATTTGATATATATAATTCTATGATTTCCTGGATGAATGAGTAGTACCTAATTGTACTGGATAAATATGAAAAATACTTAAATAATATAAAAAAAATCATTGATATAGTAGTTTTAGATGACTGATTATTTATCCAAAACTACTTTTGGTCAGGCAGTCAGCGTGGCCGATATATGTGGTTTGTAATAATTGAGAGGCAACTCAGACAAGTGTTATAATATTTTCTGAATTGACATGAAAATGTCATAGTTTGGTCTTCATTGTAAATTAATTCATGAAATAACTCCTTTTCACATTTAAAAATATTCTAAAGATTTTCTTTATTAATTTTGACAAAAATCATCGCATTACTTTTAACGCGAAAATGCAATGATTATATTCCATCGTGTCCGAATATATCTTGTTGTCAAGGTAGTTAGAAAAAAAATCTTTTAAAACTGTACAAATTAAATGTCGATACCGGTTAGCCGTCTGGTTTTCCATAACACAGTACAATTTAATTAATTATTTTCCAACGTTCATTAACGAAGTTCATTAACGTAGGTATGCATGCATCTGACAAATTTTCATATTAATTAAATTATTTGCAATATTAGTTGCTCTTTTATGCTAGTGAGGCCCTAGCCTCACGAGGGCATTATCAACATTATATATATTCTGACTATTGCAAAGTGTGTGATTATTTAAAAAAAATAACCGACAAAATATATATATATAATATATTATTATGTTTTATAGTCGTTTTATACAATTAGTTTTATTATACACCGATTAATTATAATTTCAATTAACTGTGTAATATTATATTAACATTTTATTTCAAATATATTATTTTCAAGTTGCAGAGATTATTAATCTAATAAAAAGTACTAATATTAAAAGTTTCGAAACAAACTTAATTATTTCTGTAATGATCTCTTACCTTTCCTTCTTATTAACTTAGACGAACACAAGTCACAAACAATTAGCACTAAACTCACATCGCTGATTATAACGTGAAAGTTATGTACATTCGGCAAAGCTCGAACGAAAGTTACCGGGCTAACGGCCGCAGCGGGGCTTTAGAGCTTTGAGTGCAACCAACCCTCACGACAGAACGCAGACGACTGAAGTGGAGACAGGCAGACTATAAAGCAACCTACACACATGTTCACCTATTCTAGCGGTAACATTTGTGCGTTATTTAATTTATTCAGACTTCACTAGTAAATCGTGACATTTAGCATAGATGCATTGAATTCATTTATTACGCGTCGGCGTTAATCGTTAATCGAGCGGTTTTATGTCAATTCATAGATTCCGAATACGATCTTGCTCTATAATTCAGGAAATAATATTGGGTATAGTTTAATATTTATTAGTTTACAAATCTAAAGTTACAATTATGGATACTATATGCACGAGTATCGAAAAGTGCTCCAATAATATTTAATCATTTAAATTGTACATGCATACATACATACAATTTAAAAATAAATTGTACCTACATTCTAACAGCCTCTCATTTACATTTTTATTGTTATGTTGTAGTAGTAGTACTTGTAGATATAAGTAGGAACTGTAACTAAACTTCAGTTGAGAACTGGCAAGAATCTCAATATTATTTCAGTTCATTAAAAATGCGTACAGTTTGTTTTTAAATTACTTAATGGATTTACCAATCTTATTTTGTTTCATTCCAATGCCATTAGCATGTCTGAGAGAACAAATATTCAGTGCGAAAACCAGACCACCGCTATTATGGTAGATGCGTTACCCCGATCTCTTTTGGTGATTAAATTCCAATCGTCCTTTAGTCTACACTCATACAGCAACACATATTTCGCCTCTGAACGAAGCATCATCAGATTGTTCAGATATAGCTTGGAAGCCTAGGAGTTGACTGTTCGGCGACCAAATTGCAATATGTTTTGAAATTAACGGATAAGATTAAGCAGACGTAGTCGAATTTCCATAGTGAAAGTAGTTCTTTAATCTGTGAAGATTGGCAGTAAACGTATTAATCATAAGTACAATGTGTGTTCTATTGAGATAAATTATAAAATCAATTGACCAATCTATCATCTGTTTACACTGACGGATTATAAATGGTATAATATATGCTTGTAAGAAGCACTAATTATGGTGGACGACTGAGGCTTTGAAGCCGGCTACCGCAAGGGAAACCCCAAGTAGCGCCCGTGACTTGTGACACGGGTGTAGGTTTAAAAGGCCTTTTTAGGATGCATTAACTCACCTTCACTACTTGCAGCTTCCCCCCAAGCCCAACTAAGACCGGGATAAACCCATTGCTAATACAATTCACTTTAATATCCACAACTGGCACGCTCTGCGCTCGTCGACCGAATACCGCGGCTCACTCAACGAAAGAGAATTATTCAAAGGACTTATGGAGCCGACCTCCGTATTTATAGGGCACCACTAAAGTCAGTGCGATCCCCGTTTGAATTGTCGATCGGAGGGGAATTATTCAACTACCGACCTCCGTATTTATAGACTAAAGTCAGTGCAGTAGGTTGGTCTATAAATACTAGGTGGCGCTATTTACAATATTCGTAATAAGCTTTACATTGGGTACTTCATTAGTACTAAAAACAAATTACCTTCTTTTAATATATTTTTAAATTATCGAATTTTTTCTGCAATAATGATGTGAATTCTAACATGCATACAATATTTAAATAAATTTATTATCATATTTTATAATTTAATATTAACATTTCATTTCTTCAACCTTTTTAGCAGAGCTTTCGCTGTTATTTTTCCTTTTTACCTCTTAGTCTGGTGGTGGCCACACTGATAACAACAAAACAAATATGGCGTCTTTTCTTAACATCCACAATTTTTTTAACATAACTGAACTGTTTCTTAAATTAACTTTACTAAATAATTATCAATTTCGAAGCAATCTCGCAATTAATTTATCCTGATAAATTATAAAATATGCGCTATCGGAATATGTTCGTGAAGTTGTCATGAATGTTTACAAACTAATGTAACCTACAAAGTAGTTTTCGTGGTATCTATAAAAAAATTGGCTAAAATCACGGCGTCCAAAAAGTCAGCAGATTCACCCCATCTAGCAGCAGAGAGCAAATTTAGGGTATGTTAATTAAAATGAATTTAATATACTTATACTTAAAATATATCGTCTATTATACCAAATTAATTGTGTTACAGATGCCAGCTGCTAGTTTTGGTATATCTCAACTACCAGCTAATGGTGATTGTGGTATAAAGGATGTATGGAATCACAATCTTCATGAAGAGTTCCAACACATAAGACAAGTACGTCCTCTTTTGGTGAAATTAACAATATTTTTTATAAAAAGATGAAACTTATCAATCATTTAAATTCGCTCCTAAAATTTACCAATAACGAAAGTGTTTATAGTTAAGTACTATGATTGTTACAAGCAGTGTTCTCATATCACTCGTATCTGTGTAAGCTGTGTGGAAAGCCACATTAAATGTAAGATTATACATGCTAAGACATTACAATTAATTTTCTATTATATTTAAAATATTAATAAGTAGTAAGTATTTGGGTGAGGCATAAGGCTTGTAATGACCCCATTAATAGCCATGTACCTAAACAGGTCAACCTTCGTGCACTTAGCAATAGAAACCAATTACTATTAAGTTTGCCATATTGGGTTAACTGACAACTCCATCATATACTATTTTGCTAACAGTATACACTAAAGGAGAATTATTTCATATTCATCCATCAAAAAAAAGTATTCTGAAATTGTAACAAAAGCATTTGTGCTATAGGTTGTACAGAAGTTTCATTGGGTTGCAATGGATACTGAGTTTCCTGGAGTAGTAGCACGGCCAATTGGAGAATTCAGATCTACTGCTGACTACCAATATCAGTTGCTCAGGTAACAATTTTGTTTGATATAATAAGTAATGTGATTTTATAGATACACAGCAAAATATTATGAACCTAGGTGTTACAAACTTATAATTTTGCATTGAGCCGGTGTCATACTTTGGTGTTTTAAGTGTTAAGTTAATATATTGTATAGATATTATTATCATATAAAACCAAAAATTATGTAATATATACTTATACATATAAGACCTTTGGGCCTCTTATGCATGTCATATTTTTTATCTCTATCCCTGCAGTCCAGTTCAGGTATTATTATAATTAGGTATCCTTGTAATTGAAATTATTTGCTGTACTAATTTTCCAAATTTGCAGATTTTATTAATAACATATAACAAGCCTAAGTTTGTGTGAATACTAATAGCATTAAAAATTAATTTAATCTCTGTTTAAACAATGAATTTTTTATTTCCTATACTTATGCATTTGATACTCACGGTCTACTTTTAATTAAAAAAATTATAATACAGTTATCCCAGTATACCTACTAAACCAAAGTAATCACTAGGAAATATTCTAGCGTCACTTATTTACTTTTAATTCCTAATCATTCAGGTATTATAGGCAATCATTGCCACAACAATCACATGTCCCATCCGCTTATTTAGTATTCTAGTTATATAAAATTTTAATAATATTTTACATTAAATATTTTTTTTAAATATATTGCAGGTGTAATGTGGATTTGCTAAGAATAATCCAACTTGGTCTCACATTTATGGATGAAAATGGCAAAACACCACCAGGTTACACCACTTGGCAATTTAATTTCAAATTTAATTTGCAGTAAGTAATCTTCATTACAAAACGACACATACTACAAATTTTTGCTGTTCAAACTTTTACACATTTCAAGTCAAATACAAGATGAAGAAAAATAAGTACTTAATATAAATCATTAACAAATTCCTACTTATTTTCAGAGAAGACATGTATGCACAAGATTCTATTGATTTACTCCAAAATTCTGGATTACAGTTCAGGAAACATGAAGAAGATGGAATTGAGCCTTTAGAGTTTGCTGAGCTCCTAATGTCATCAGGTATACTAAACCTATTGACATTATTAATGATGTAGGACAGAAAAATTGCTTTTGATATCTTTAATAGATTTCATAAATTACTTTGAACCCGAATACTATCCTAGCAATCTTGATCTGAGAAACTTATATTTTTAAGAAATATCGTTAAAGCAGAAAAATAGTATGTGAAACATTATATATAATAGTTTTAGTGCTATTTTCATTTCAGTCTATATTTCGCAATATTTTATTATTTTCTAATCAATTTCTGTCTTCTTTTATCAGGTCTTGTTCTCATGGATAACATAAAATGGCTTAGTTTTCATTCTGGCTATGATTTTGGTTATTTATTGAAACTTCTCACAGATCAAAATTTACCACAAGATGAAAATGATTTTTTTGAGAGTCTAAGGTTATACTTTCCAACTGTTTATGATGTAAAGGTATGTTTATGTTTATGCTATAAATACTGCATTGGTTTAAGCGTTGTAATTGTTGTAATATTATATTAATGGTTGTTGCAGTATTTAATGAAATTATGCAAGAATTTAAAAGGCGGACTTCAGGAAGTAGCCGATCAGTTAGAATTACGAAGAGTAGGGCCACAGCACCAAGCTGGCTCTGATTCACATCTTACAGGAATGGCATTCTTCAAAATAAAAGAGGTATATTATTGTTCTTATTAAAATTCTAGTTCAATTATTATTAAAAGTAAGTATGACCACATTAACTGGCACATTTCAAGCTAAGTATTTATTTGTCCTATTTCTAAATTATAAGAAGAGTACACTCAAATATTAATCATCAAATTGTCACAATAATGTTAATTATAGATATAAATTCAGTTTAATTTTTGATGAAATTTTACTATGCTAAAGTTTGCTCGTATTTTTTAAGCATTGTTTAAATTTTTTTCAGATATTTTTTGATGACAACATTGAGAGTTCAAGTGGTCACCTGTATGGTTTAGGCGCGCCCTTTTCAGTCAACGCAAATAACTTTCAAGACAATGGGGAAAATGGAAATTCATCCTGATCAGGAGATTCGGTGTGCATTAGCCTCACACCGAAACCACGCGTCTTCCACCTGACAGAGTGATTTCGCGTAACATACAACAAATATATTATGTGCACTGTATATGGGTACCTGTTTTTAAATGTACAGAATTATATACATGTTCGTTTTGAGAATAATTACAAAATCTCTATAAATGTGTGATTATATTTGAAATATGTAACACAATATGAAGAAATCACAGAATAGTTACAACCAAATTAAGTGAAATTCTGCAATTTAATTTTTATAATGATATTTACACCCTCTTAATGAGTAGTTTGAGCATATCCCTATATACTTAAACTATTCTTTGACACACATCTAATACTTGAGAAACTGAACAATTCTGCTTTTGAATTAATATTAATCTTTTTAAATTGCAAATTATTATTTGTAGAGTGTTATTGAAATATAATAATATCTATCTTTTCTCTAAAACTGATACGAAATGCAAACAGCCTTGAATTTAAATAATTGTTGTTAATACAAAAGAAGTTATAATAAGTTAAAAGGTCACAAACTTTTTAACCTCTACTATTAGAAATCGGCGTAACATACTTAAGAAGTATGTTCATAAAAATTACGTACCCAAATATTCTAATTTAAATAAAATTTGGGGTTAATCGGTACATACTTGTAAAATTTTGCAAATGTATTTTATACAGGAACTAATTATTGATTAAATCATTTGCCATTTCTAATAGTTAAATCGTATCTGTGCATCGGAAAATGTATACCTTAAAAATATTATCATATTTAAATATAGTTATGTTGTCCGCTAATGCTTAAAGATACCTATCTCGACATTGTTATCAACCGAGTGTCGAAATTTTCAGTCACAATTTGAAAATAATTTTTCTTTCCCAGTTTCAATTAATTTACAAATTTATTATTTATTTTTAAAAGCTATTTATATATTTATTAGTATCACATTTTATTGATGCATTTTAATATATTTTATTTATATTTAACTTCATATTAAGGTTTCATTTCAAATACTTATTTTCATTTTAAATATAGTCTCAAAAAATAATCATTGTATTAGTATCCCAAGTATTAGATGGAATATTTATTATTTGATCAATTAATGGTACATATTTTAGATTATATAGATTTAAGGATTATTTTTTAAGATTTTACTATTTTATATCTTTCTTATTTAGTATTATCAAAACAGTTTACATCTGGGTTTGTGCTGTATGTATGAAGAAAGATATTAAAATACATTCAAAATTAACCTGTTTTTTTCATTCATTTCAATGAGTAGACACAAACACCTATTATTTTAACCGTTCTCCAATGTCCCCCAACATACTACAAGTGGTCCCCTAATTTAAGGTCACAAAATTCTATTTTCTTTAATAGTTTAAATCGCGTATTTCATTACTTGGATATATTCGATTTTGAAAAATGTGTGTCACGTAATTTAGGAACCCCACCCATGTCACCATTTGACGACCCCCTCCTCTCTTAACTTGTAATGCAATTTATAAATGGCCCCTATTTGGATTAAAAATTTATCTAATATTTAGCATAAAAAAAAATTGTTGATAATGAAACATTCTCGTATTTATTTACTATAACATTTTTTAAATTTATAACGTTTTAACACAATTTAGCAAGACACAAATTTGATGTGGTCACACAGTTCGTAAATGTCATATAACAGAACAAAACTTATAACATAGCGGAAAGACGACACCCACAAAAAAAATGGCAATAATAAAAAGCACGAAATATTGCTTTATCATAGTATTCTATATACCTTAATACTGCTGTGAAAAAGCGGAAGATAAATTTATATAACTCTGAATATTATATTTAATAATGGAAAGCAAATGTTAGTAACAAAAGATATGCTTGACAAACTTGTCGTTTATGAAACAAAATATGGTGTATTTATTTTTGTGACTTGTTAATAAATGTGAAAACAAAAATATGACTCTAATTTGTTTGACATATTTTAATTGCTTCAATATATTAATATTATATTTCGATTATTAATACCTATTACTGAGTCATTATTTCGATAATGACTGTAATTGTTCTGTCATTTTACGGAGAAAGGTACAAATTCAACACTACATAATGTGCGATAGATAATTAAAAGTATAAATGGTACAATTTCCAGTATTACTAGAATAAAATGAAAACGTTACAAATTATTATGATGATGCAAAATGGTCTACTTAAAGTTTCAAAGTTTTCAGAAGTAAAAAAAATATAATAGAATTTACTAAAAATAATAGTTGAAGGATATATGAAACACAGCTGTGAGCCATGGTTTCTTTAAAAAAATGAGAACCATAAAAGTTTTGGAATAACTTTTTACTTTTAACATATTAATATTTCTTATGGATGTTGTATTGTAAATATGATAATAATTTAAATACAAATTCGAAGAATAACGTGTCTGATGTTTTTGCTTATATTTAATGTGATGACTTTCGTTGGCTGACATATTTCACATAAATTATGTATAGTAGTTATAAATACTATGGTATATTTCAGTAAACTTGTTTTATTTTTAAGACCTAGGAAAAAGTTCCGTTAAAACTCCTAATTGGTAATGATTTCTAAATTGCCCTTTACAATAATGCCATTACTGTAATAAAAATACTAGTAATGGCAACATAGGTCTGGCCCCAGTAGGTATCCTAAATATCCCATACAAGCACGACTCGGTACAATCATATGCTATATTTGAAATGTCAATTATTGGCAGTAGTATTTTGAAATAGAAATTAATCTTAAAATCGCATTATACAATATATACTTTCGGAACGTGTTCGATTGTAATAATATCATTAAATTTATTAGATTTCAATCAAAATTAACAATATAACAATAAGTCTGTTTTGGCATTCTAGCTATTGTGGTTTCTTATGAATTTTATAAATTGCATTCATTCTTAGACAGTCATTTTGATCAGTGGTGTAATTTTTTACTTAATATTGATATTATTTGTAATTCCCACATTTTTAGCTTTCGTCGTGAAATATCGTCTTTAGTTTGTTGGAAAATAGAACTGCAACGGTAAATAACGCAGACATTTTTATAAATAAATATTCATATTTAAAACAAACTTTAAATTTTACTAACATACAAAACTAACTTGGTTTTTCAGATGCCCGCTGCCAGCTTTGGCTCGCTAGTTGCAAGTGTTATAAAAGAAGATTGCACTATAAAAAATGTATGGAATCACAATTTACATGAAGAGTTTAATGTTATCCGACAGGTAACTGTACTCTAATATAGGTATAATTCTCAAAAAGAGTTATTATAAATTTCAACAATTTATTTATTTTATTAGTTACTTAAACATGAACATAATCTTATGTTGGTTCTAGATTTGTTGTTTTCTTTAATTCATAACTTATCATTATATTAATATATATTTATATCACACTACTACCACTATAGTTGTACAAAATCATCTGTGAGGTCTTTATCTCACATTATTTCGCCGCTAGGCAGCTTGCTTTATAAGCTGTGATTTCAGTGTAATAAATATTTTAATGAAATTGGGACATTGGAGGCCTGATGTCAGGCTAAGTCAGCTGAAATAGGTTCAGTGCATGTATATGTGTGACAGTTACAACATATCATTATATGTTGTAGTAACTGTCACAACTGGTGGTATAATTTACCATCAACTGATGATAAGTTGTACTGTTGTAGTGTTAGCACATAACTAGTCACCATCTTTTCTAATCCCATTTTATAACAGTAGTATCTTGACATATTTGTATTCACCTTACCTATGTATATCATCTTTATATGTATCTATTCTTTAATAATATCAATGTTATTAGATTGTACAGAAATACCACTGGGTGGCAATGGACACAGAGTTCCCTGGAGTAGTAGCACGTCCCATTGGAGAGTTTAGATCAACTGCAGATTATCAGTACCAACTTCTAAGGCAAGTAATGGAATAGCAATATATTTCTGTAGTTTAAACAACAGAAATATATTGTATTAATAATAATAGTAATATAGTAAATATACATAAGTAGTAATTTTTTCTTTTTCGGGTGCAATATATATTTATATAATATCCATTAAAAATCTATAAAATTATGGAATGAAATAACCACATTGTAGAAATCAGCAGCAATAGGATATGACATGGATAGTGCTTAATATATCACAAATTACACAGAGCTGTCTGTTATTTACTGACTAATCCTTTCATTGCCCTATAACACTCTTCTTCATTGAGCCTCTGTGGCATATTTGTAACTGATTATTCTTTTATCTATATTTCACAAATCTAATAATTTTATTTACAGATGTAATGTGGATTTATTGAGGATAATCCAATTAGGTTTAACATTTATGGACGAAAATGGCAAGACACCCCCTGGTTGTACTACCTGGCAGTTTAATTTTAAATTTAACTTGCAGTAAGTGTCTGTTTGAATTCCTTACCTTTAAATAATGTGCCATAACAATAAATAATGAAAAATCATCAAAATGAACAATGAAAATAATTACCTTTGTAAAATTTTGTATTAACTGTAAACAATAGATTCAACACTCAACTATAATATTAAATTAATATATATTAAAATATAATTGATACATAAATGTATCAATTATATCTTTTAATATAATAATTATTAGGTGTTATGCTTTATTCCCTTAGTCACAACTTCATACAACATCACCTTCATACTAATGAATGAATTGTTGAATGTATATACTATATATACATAACATATAAAACTTATACATAAAATATGGTGAACATATGTTTGATTTCAGAGAAGATATGTATGCTCAGGACTCCATAGATTTACTACAAAATTCAGGATTACAGTTCAGAGAGCATGAAGAACATGGCATTGAGCCCCTTGAGTTTGCTGAATTACTTATGTCTTCAGGTATGTATATCAGATTTTAGAGATTATTAGCTCTACCTAGGATGGAGGTTAAATAAATTATATTTAACTATATATACTCCTTATATATAACTTTTTGTTGTCTCTTAGCTGATATTTAGTCATTATTTGTTCTCTTTGATTGGATTAGAAACATGTTTCGTGGTAAACTAAAAAAGTTGATCAATGAAAAACGCAACTAATAATTATACTTTACGTTTTTAGGTATTGTGTTAATGGATAACATCAATTGGCTGAGTTTTCACTCTGGATATGACTTTGGTTACTTATTGAAGCTTCTTACAGACCAAAATTTACCACAAGAAGAAAATGATTTCTTTGATAATCTTAGATTATACTTTCCCACTGTTTACGACGTTAAAGTGAGTTATTTATCTTTTCATTACTTTAAAAAATATTAGCGTAGTGTGTAATAGTAGTGTAGTGATTCCCATACAATATTTTTTTTGTTATGATACAAAATTAATTTTTTTTAAAATGTGATACATAGGTACTAAAATATCATCTTTTTTTAGTATTTAATGAAATTATGCAAGAACCTAAAAGGTGGGCTGCAGGAGGTGGCAGATCAGCTTGAGCTGCGACGTGTAGGTCCACAACATCAAGCCGGTTCTGACTCACATCTCACAGGGATGGCATTCTTTAAAATCAAAGAAGTAGGTTCATGAAAAAAAAACGTTTTAGAAATAACTAAAGTATAAAGTGAGAGATATAAGTGACAAGCATATGATGCAATTACCCCTTAATGCAGTGCACCACAAATTATATATTGTGTACCTACAAGCATACAGCTTGACCTTGTAAATATTGGGGCTGCACAAACATGTACGACACACATACTGCCACATAAACATCTTTTATAAAACAAATCTTACACGATTTTATCTTAACAAAACATGTATGTATACTGCATGAAAGTAAAAAACCAACAGGTTAATGATAAATTGATGATAATGGAGTGTTGCAACTGCCTGCAGTAACGGTTTATGCTGATTGTTGTTTTTCAACATGCATGTTGGTATTTCAAACCATAAAACAAGACAAATTCCACATGTTGTTTTGATCCTTCATTACAGTCTTATTTCAGATAATGGCAGTGGTATCCAATTGAAACTTAAGATTCTTACATAATACTTCCAGTGGACTTAATCTTGTAGATTTAAGTAGATTAACTATAGTTGGAGAGCTTTTCTAATTACAGTATTTTTTTAAGATATTTTTTGATGGCAACATCGAGAGCACCAGTGGACATCTCTATGGATTGGGTGCGCCTTTTCCTACAAATGTTAACAATTTCCAAGAAAACAGTGAAAATGGCAGCTCATCTTGATCGGGAGAGTCGGTGTGTGTGACCAGCCTCACGCCACAACCGCGTATTTTCCATATCTCGGAATGAATTCAAATATTGTGATAATTGAAGTATTGAAGTATTTTATTTCTATAAGCAATGACTTTAATTATATAAGGTCACAAGTAATAATATGTAAATAATAATTAGTAGAAATATAAAATATTGGTAGTCAATAATGTCACTATAGTACTAAAATAATCACTTATTGTGGTATATATTAGAATTGTTAAAGAAATGACTACTATTTTATTGGATCAGATTTTCCGTAAGTTTGCTTTTATCTTTAGTTAAATGTAAATGTAAGAATTATAATAAATTTTATACCAAGTACCTGTGCAGGACACAGTTTCTTATTCGAGCATCTTTTTTTCTGTCACAACGGGCACTTTATAATTTTATTTATTTATTTATTTACGTAATTTTTGTTTTCTCCACAAGTCCACACAAACATGTTTAGTAGTCATTTAGGGATAGCCATTAACTCGCCTAGTGTTAACTTGCCAAGGCCGGGCTGACCAGCCAAATGATTTCGTGCCTAGACACTTTAATCAAAATAAAAATAGCAAATAATGTAAGCACATATTTTAATCAGAGTAAATTTACTATGTATAAGTTATCATGTTTTAAAGAGTTTATCGGCAATGTGAATGTTCCGTTCAGGTATTCTGTAGCGATAGTTTTCACAGTGTTGATATACCCTTGTCGACATAGCTCGGTGCCTACCTGGTTGCCTAACAATAACATAATTAATTAACTGATAGCTTCTTATGATAATTGTTATGTTAACGCTGTAATTATTTTGTTACTCTGATTTGTGATTTACTTAGCTCAATTATTTGTTATTAGTATAGAAGGATCGGACGCTGAGATAAAAGAAAATAGTAATAATATAAAAAATGTTAAATATATTATGAAAAAAATAATAGGACAAACATTAAATTAATATTTACCTGTGATTAAATGTACCAATTGAAAATTACGATATGAAAAATGTGGAATATAATAAAGTTTGTTTACCAATCTTTATTTGTTTATCTTGTTGCCATACTCATTAAAGTATTCTTTTTATAACTAATATTGCATAGACAGTATATTCTTTCAATAATATAATAATATCATAGTGATTTAGTAAAGACGAGTATTAGCTTTAGTTACAACTTACATTATAGTTAGCAGAATCAAATTTAAACTTCTGATCCTATTAAAAGCTGGACCTAAATCAAAAACCTTGTTAAAAACAAAAAAAAAATATGTATAATAATATTTTTTATAAAGTTTTCCAAATAAAAGACAGTATATAGAACCAGTGTCACTTTATTTAATACGAAATGACTTGCAAAATTAGTCTTTTATAACTGAAATATAACTTATTCCAAATGGATAAACAATCTTTCGTCCCTAGATACAAATAGATGAACATGGCATAATTTTGTAAAAAATTGTATTATTTTATTGTATAAAAATAAGTTATAAGTACGGTATTCTAAAATTTAAATGCTCAACAGTAGCTTCCTTATGTATACTTACTATTTAGTAATACTTACATGCAGTTTGCATGGACAGTTACACGCATTTGAACTAATGGAGTATTGTACAGAAATATTGCAGTTACTGTAGAATCCCTCCAGAATAACATACTGTATACTATAGGATAGGTAGTACTGCTGTTTTCATATTATGATTGTATTATTATTGGACTTATATAACCAGATCAATATTCTTCACACTGGTTAAATCGATGCCGGAATTTAAAATACAATAAATTACAATTTAACATTAAATAAGATATTATTATGACGTTAGTTTACAAAATACAACTATTGTAACTATGTAGCTTTATCCATTTGCACCGATCGTTGACCTCACTTCTTTTTTTTCTTATGTTTCTGTGCCGTGTCGGGAGTATTATCAGCTTTGCGTTTGCCTGCATTAGGACCTTTACCAGTCGAATTACCTCCAGAAGCATTAAGGTTTGCATTTCCACTCTTCTTTTTCTTTTCTGCCCTTTCCTTCTCTTCCAGTTCTTGATTTTCTCTTTCAATTAAGGTAATGAGTGTATTACATCTGAAAAAAAATATGAAAAATAATTTTCTTCTCTTTTAAATTTCGAGATTGTTCATAATTTTTATGACTATATTGATTATATCAATTGTACCTGATCTAATGTAAAGCCAAAGTATACCTGTGGGCTAATTATCTAACTTCGTTCGCAACGATTTTTGTATGTAACGTAGTGAAAATGACATCTGTCAATAATGCGATTATATTGACGCCATTTGACGCTGTCAACTAGCATTGCAACGTAACTTTACATATCGATAAAAATTATTTCTATCGAATGTCGATTTAGTAACCTCGTTGCAATGTCACATATTCGCTATTTTGCCGAAATGACAGCGTGGAATTGAAACTGTTTTTAGATTAAGAGAAACAATTTAGAAGGTGTTTCTTTTGGTTACAATCTTTAAAATATCAGCATTAACAGCATTATTTATCATCTTTTGGTAATTTTCAGTATTACTACTACTATTTACTGAAAATATATACCAAAAAAAGATAAATAATGCTGCTAATGCTATGCCTTCTAAATTGTTTCTTATACTCTAAAAACAGTTTCAATACGCTGTCATTTCGGCAAAATAGCGATTCCGTGACATTGCAACCAGGTTACTAAACCGACATTCGATAGAAATATTTTCTATCGATATGTAAAGTTGCGATTACGTTGCAATGCTAGTTGACAGCGTCAAATGGCGTCAATATAATCGCATTATTGACAGATGACGTCATTTTCACTACGTTACATACGAAAATCGTTGCGAAGGAAGTTAGATAATTAACCCACTGTTATTAAGTCAATATAGGCGACATTCTTTACCAGTCAACCGTGGTAAAGTATAGAGATACTCTATTGCGGCTTAAAATATAATGTACCATATAATAAATAGTACATTAAATATATAGAAAAATACTAACGATTTTATTTTAATTAAATTCAATACATTCGAGTACTGCAGTAATATAGAAACTATCTATGTATATCAATCTTGTGATGTAGTGAACTGTAGAAAGGATTATAGAAATTATATGAACGTACCTGCGTTGCAGTTCAACAGCTGTTCGCGACTTTAGGAACCAGTCGAACCGGAATTGCGGCGCCGCGTGGACAGCTGCACGCAATTCTTCATACACATTTTCTTTATCAAAGCCCAGCTTGTGCAGCATGCACACCAGAAATCTGGATAAGGCGTACAATTAGTAATGTATCAGTTGTACAAATCTACCAGAAGTTAAAAAAGCTGTCTGCTAGCTACCTCAGTCTTAGCTATTTCAGCCCCCCTATACAAATTGCTTTGTAAGCTATTTCAGTTGTTATCCTACAACTGAAATGGTGAAATAAAAGAGGTACAATATCTTAAGATCAAGTGGTATTGCAGGTGCTACTCAACGACTCTATAGTGCTGTGCATGCAGTAACATACCGCTTACCATCATATGGATCATCGGCATGTTACTGTAAAAACAACCCTGTCCAATCCGAAATAGGCGTATAACAAACAGGTATACCAGTGATATTATCAAATAATTAGATTCATTAAAATAAGAATGTATGTAAAAAGAATAATATTTTATATCGAATTTGGATATCCAACAATACCTGAGTATATGTAACAGTCTGTATACACAAAAATATTTACTTCTAAATTGTACTTCTTTATCAAAACTAAACAGATTTGTGTTTTTGCAGTCAATACTTATGTAATAGGGTATGTTGAATCCATCTGTGTACAACATTAGTACTAATTTCGATTCGATTGATATCGACGCCTATTTATGAAACATAAAATACCTGTCTTCTTCTTCTACATAATTTTTGCCCTTGTTAGTTCCATATGAGATTCTGAGTTGATGGAATGGTGCTCTATATCGGGCCATTTTGGCATCTAATGCTTTCTTTATAGAGGCTCTTCTTTGTATTTTAGCTTCTCCTCTTTCAATTTGTCCCATAATTCTATCCACATCTTGCAGTTCGTGACATCTCTCCCAAAATACTGCTGAGTACTCCATGACCTGAAATATATAATATAAAGTTCACTTTAATGTCAAAAGTGATTGTTATTTTGAGGCTTCAAGTTTTACTACAGTACACCCATTAGCATTGCACTAAATTAAATTATTAGGGCCCAAAAGTCTTATCTAAGTATCATATCCATATATTAAATATAGGAATTCGATTAACGCAAAAAAAAAGTTATTTTATTACCATATACAGTAAACTAAGTATATTTTTTAATGTATTTTTTTATATTACCTCTTCTGGTGTTTTGCCTTCCACATCTTTTGCAATATTCTCAATATCATCTCGACCATATTTTTCATTTGCTTTTATAAACTGATTGAAATCCCGCTTAGTCCAATTTGTGAATCCTAAAAATAATAAATCTAAGTTTAAAGTCTCCAAGCTTTCATGGGTTCGTTAAAAATATTAGACTACAGGGTTATCTCGAATACCATACAGCAAAACAGAAACAATTATATTTTAGAGTAAAATAAGGAATATCATTACATAGTACAAAAAAAATCGCTGTCACTGTCTGTCCCTTACTTTTAAATATTTAAACATACATAATGTTTAAATATTTAAAAGTACGCAACGGATTTTGAAGAGTTTTTTTAATAGATAGTGATTCAAGAGAAAGGTTTATGTATAATAAACGTACACCCGTGCGAAGCCGGGGCGAATAGCTAGTAATACATTAAAGTTATTTACTCGTTTTTACTATTCAGTAATTTACAACGAGCTCTTTTAAAACTAGGAAAATCAAGTGGGAATAAAAAATTACGACATCTCAATTACGTTTAGGTTTTAATTTTGAGAGAGAAATCAGAAGTGGGGGAGGCCTTTGTTCAGCAGTGGACGTATTCCGGGCTGAAATGATGATGAATCAGATCTAAATTTGTTGCAAATTACCTTGTGTTAAAAGTTGTTCTTTTTCTTGTATTTCTTCCTCAGAGAGAGCCTCAGCATCATCTATTTTACGTTGCTCTTCTCTTTGAATTTTAGCCGCATCTGGTCCTAATTCTGGGTTTCGTGGAACTTTATACCTAAAACGAATAAAACATATGATGACATGTAAGAACTTTAACATACATTGTTGCCTACTTGTCCTGCTATATGCATGTTTAAAAGCATATTAAATAATACATATTTGTAAATAATAGTTTATATATGTATATATACCCGAGAGTCTTCCGGTAGTGGTAAATTTCTTGATCCAATAACTCGAAGAGTCTAGGTGGAAAGAACTGGAAATCTTGTACAATAGGCTGCTTGGGTGGTCTTGGTGCCTGGTTAAGCAAAAATACCAATGTTATCAATTTAATATTAACTACCTACACTGATATGAATAAATACGTTAGTATAATATTATATTAAAGCGCAATGAATATACTCTGTTATGACTATAGTGATATGAAAATATATACATGCATTAATAAATAATACATAGAATATAATATGTTATAAGTACAGCATACATAATAATTATAATATATATCAGGTTCAAAACCAGTATAAAGAGCTAACAATGTAATATAGTTACATAAATGAATGGATGATACAATATTATATAACCATCACCAAGAATACCGAACCGCAGCGCAGGACTCCGCATTTAGCTCTTTACACTTATTTACCTGTACCTTTGGCGCCTTGGGTTCGGAGACACGTAGTGCCTCCCTGAAGTATGCATCGACTGCATAGTTAGCTTTACGCTCGCGTTTAGGAGGCTCTATCCAGTTACCGATTGGAATAACCTTCTGTTTCTCTCTGTAATCCTCCCCTAAGTACATAAACATAAAAAAATATATTATCTCATTAGAATTTAATAATTTAGAACCTTTTTGTATAACTATATTAATTGTTATTATTTGTGTCGTAATTACTGAATTAACTGTCTTACAATATTTGCATAACGCAAATGACTCAATCATTAGTTATTTTAGAAACATTTTCACACCTTCAAACTGATATACCGAATCTGTAGTTGCACCAGGAGTGTCCATTGAAAAAGCTCGAAGCGAAGACTCTCCTAAACTCTCTAATTTCTGTTTGAGCTCTTCAGTCTGTAAATTGTTCATTAAAATCATTATTTTCGAATAAGTCATGTAAAATTCTATGCACTGAAAATTTTGTTTACCTTGGTTTGTCCCTTAGCTAATATAGTGTCAATGTCTTCTTCAGTAATTTCGGAATCTTTAGAAGAGAACACATGATTCGCTCCATGTCTGATCATGTTAAGCATCTCATCTTTATTTAGCTGGTTCTTGGTGTCTACTAGTCGACCAGACTGGATGACTAATTTATCCAGACGTAACTTCACTTCAGCTCGCTCCACAATCTTCTCCTCCACTGTGTTGTCCGTGATTAGTCGGAATACGCGCACCTAATAAGACATTATATAATTCTAAGACTACTATTATAGTTACATCATACAGTGTACATAAACAACACAAAAAAATTATTATATTAAAAAAAAAATTATAAATAGTACTTGTTTTTTCTGTCCAATACGATGAGCTCTATCCATAGCCTGTAAATCCATTTGTGGATTCCAATCAGAATCATATATAATAACAACATCGGCTGAAGTCAAATTGATTCCGAGACCACCCGCTCTGGTTGACAGCATAAAAACAAATTTTTCACTGCCTTCTGCATTGTATTCTTCTATTTGCCTGTTTCTGTCTTCATGTGGGGTTTGTCCATCTAAGCGGCAGTACTGCAATAGTACAATTTTTGCGTATTTTTATATTACAATAATAATCATATTATAGAAAACATAATAAAAAATTAAATGCTGTGAAGATATTATATTATATGTGCATCATTCATGCACAGACACAAATCAAATTAAATTTAATATTTAAACAAATAAATCAAATAATTTATTCCAGTATAGTAATTGCTAAAATTCAAGAAACACTAAATATTTATTGAATTTGATAAAATTTATACATGTGAGAAAATTGTCCTAAATCCTTAATGCTGTATCTAAATAGACTAAATTGATTGTAAATATAATTTTTGAAATATTGTTTCTAACTATGACTACGCCTACGCCTACGCCTACTGCCAACTACGTGCCCTGCAGCGTTAACAACATTGGGGTTGGAGAGGAGGGTTGTAAATAGAAATTTTTCACAGTTATAATCGAAAATAAAGAGTATCAATTCTATATACTAACTTTATATTGCCTCCAAAGACAGTAATCTTCCAAGATATCTAACATTCTCGTCATCTGTGAAAAGATTAACACTCGAGAATCTTGTTCACGTAGCTTGGGTAGTAACTTGTCAAGTATCGCCATTTTGCCACAGTTATAAACCAAATGTTCATCTGTAGTGTAAGGTGGTCCCGGCTCCGCGCCGTCGAATAAGTATGGGTGATTACAACACTTACGCAACTGCATAAGGATGTTCTGTAGACGCATTTTTTCCACTTTGCCGGCACCATTTACTAAAACATCATGCTTTTCTATTAAAATTCGGCACAATTCCATCACATTTTTCAACAAATAATATTGTCTTCTGTGGAACTTAGTTCTCTTACATAATCTGAAGCTTTCACATTACATTGTACATTTAATATTAGTTGATATCATGTTGATGGAGAATTTTGAGATCCAACACAACTTCCAGCCAAATCTAGCCTCAGGTTTTCTCAACATTTCAATATTCCAATTATAATCAATTTTTAATAATATTTTATGCACAAAGTTATGATGAAAAATATATTTATATTGTTAATAAAAATTCTTATTACTTGTATAAATAAACTCCGTTCAACAACATATTATCCATCTACATTGTTCTTATTTCTCTTACAATTTGATAAATTTATATTCATAAAAGATAGATAACCTTATGTCAAATTAATTTAGCAATAATTTCTATATAGACAGAAATTAGGAGACTTATAAACCAATGAATATGATATGTATTTCAAAATGGTCACAAAATTGGATAGTGAATAAGAACATGAATAAGAACAAATATTGAATTTACATACCAACATCAATGTCCTTCATAAGAACTTTAGTATACCATTCTCGTTGCATCTTACTCAAGCCTACATACACTTTAACTTCCTTTTTTGGCTTGAGTTTCTTCTCGACTTCAGATTTGAGACGTCTGAGCAAAAATGGTCGTAGCACAGCATGCAAACGAGATACCAACTGATTATCTCCTAAAGCTGCATTAGTGTTAAACCATGAATCAAAATCCTGCAATAGAATTGTTGATGTGTTGAACACAATATATATTAAATATATATTTAAATTTCATACATATTCATTAAAGCATATACTATATTCTATATTTTAAAATACATTGATAGTATAGTACAGGCAATCTCAAATAATAAAAACAGGAACACTTTGTATTAAGTGATAAACATAAAATACAGTATATAATTACAACTTACATCTGAGCTATTAAAAACATCAGGCAGAAGAAAATTAAGCAGAGCCCAGAGTTCGTGAAGGTTGTTCTGCAATGGAGTGCCAGTTAATAACAACCGGTTCATACTCTTAAACTCTCGCAACAACTCTGACAGTTTAGACTTCTCATTCTTTATACGGTGAGCTTCATCAATAACCATATAACGCCAGTTGAATTTCTTGAATACTGATCTCTCTCTAATAATCATTTCATAGGATGTAATGCAAACATCCCAATTGCCAGGCATAAGTGTCTCACGAATAAAGGTATTCTGTGGAAAAATTTAATATCATTTTCAATACACATAGTAATAATAACAGAAACTATTTATAATTATAATTTTCTTGAAATCATATATATATATATATATATACCCTGGTTTCTTGATCACCAATTAAACAGACAGCTTTTAATGAAGGACACCATTTCTTGAACTCATTCATCCAATTTGTTAATGTGGATTTTGGTACAATTACTATGTGGGGTCCTGGTACATTCCTGTAATTATATTAATTTTGTAATTGTATAAGAAAAGAGCTAAACATCCACTTAGCCTGAATAAGACACCATTAGTAGTTTTAGTACTTACTTAAAATGCTTCATGTAACCCAAAAGTGAAATAGTTTGTAAAGTTTTTCCCAAACCCATTTCATCAGCTAATATTCCATTTATTCCATTCTCATATAGAGAAATCATCCAGTTTAGACCTCTGACTTGGTAATCTCGCATTTCTCCATTCTTAACATAATGTGGAGATGCTTCAAAGCGAAAAATGTTCTTTTGTTTCAAATTTGTTTCAGCAAGTAACTCTTCATCTTCTTCCTGCTCAGTTTTACGATGACGATGACTGGAGACATAACAGAAACATACATAGTGACAACAGACAAACAGAGTGATATTGTAAAAATTTATACACAAGAATATTTTCAATTGACAGAAATCACAATAATAGTTAATACCTTAACGAGAGAAAAAAGTATCCAATCAAATAGCATTAAATTAGCATATCAGTTCATATCCAATGCATTACTGTAGCAGAAGAAATAATTGTGTTTTTTGTCTCACTTTGGAAACACTTACATGATAAACTGTGAATGAAATATACCAATAGATGTCTTATGACCATCAATTTTAAAATTAGGTTGAAAGAAAACATAATTTTAAAATTGAAATGCTACCAGCATTACAGAAATATTTAATTTCACTTTCCAATACATCATATATACCAACTATAGGTAAACAACTGGATAATTGAATAAACAATCTTTGCTAAAAGACTGAAGTTAGAAAAACACAGTAATTTATTTAAATATGAAATCAAAACTAACTTACTCAGCTAAATCCGATTCTTTGTTTTTCTTTGGCCTTCCAGCTTTCGGCTTAGGAGGACTACTTCCAGATTTAGGGGTATTTGTCATAAAATGAGAGAAAATTTCAGTTTGTTTCAATAAAAAATCAAAGCGTTTGGCACGATCAGTTTCTATTTTACTTTCAAAATCGCCTTCTTTACCTCTGGATGAGGTTGTATCGCTGGAGGATCCATTCTATGAAAATAAAAGTAACAAATTTGTTTAAATTAAATAAAAATCGGCCTAATGCCATTTAAAGAAATTTAAAGCAATGAAATGAATCAAGGAATAAAAGAACTGTAAAAAACGCACTACTTACAGAATTCTCACCAACCTCTGCCACATCCATAGCTTCCTCGGTTTGAGACATGATACAGCAATTGTTAAAGTTATGACGAATATGAAATAACTAATTCAATAATGCTATTAATACATAACGAAACAGGTAATATTAATTAGCGGCGCGCGAAATCTGTAAGTACTCAATACAGTATACAAAAATGGTGGATGCCACAGTGTTACCACCACCAAATTACACATTCTACCGTACTTCGACAATTTGCATTACTAGAAATGCCTAATGGCAACATAAATCGCCAGAGCCAAAAGAAGAAGTAAAACTAGTTTTCCTTTTGTACAAAAAAGGTTAATATCTTATATTACCGCTATTATTCACTATCATTCAGATAAACATGAATTAAGAAAATGTCATATATTTTAGAAAGCGGATAAAAGGCAATGTTTTATTTACTTCCATTTTTAATCAAATAATTTTAGGTTCTTTATTGTATAATTAAGTTATGTATATAGTAATATGTACATACTTTAATTAAATCAAATAATGTTATAGTGAAACCCAAAAAGAGTCGTATTAAATTGTAATAATAAGCGAACGATTGTAATAAGCGAAACTATAGCAAGGCAACGGCACTTTACGACATTGTACCCATTCAGCATGACGTTGACGTTCCTGCTTGACATTTCTTCATAAATATTCGTAATTTGTGTACACAGTTGAACATAACCTAACAATAATAAATGAGAACAAATAATTATAAAAACAATAGTAGTTTTAAATTTATGTATTGAATTCAGTTTCATAAAATGTCGATCTTTTTCAAAGTATCGCGTAATTTATACGCCCATAAGTTCGTTTATAAAATGATTATATGTAACGAGTCAAAACGATTAAAAAATAATCTTCGTTATTTTTATTACAACACAAATTTAAGAGTTAAAATGTTTTTGGAGCATGAGAATAAGTACGCTTATGAAATTATGGAAAGCAAAGGTTATACAATGAGTATAACTAAAAATAATGAAAATATAAATCAATATACACCTATTTCAGAAAATCAGTTCAATGAATTAATACAAGAAAATTGGTCACTTAAAACACCTGAGCAACTGTTTGATTACTTCCCAAAACTAGCTTCTTATTGTACCAGAAATGGAATGTGCATATCAAACAAAATATTTGATACTTTTGTAGACCATTTTACAGACAATATAAAATTTGCCACTGATAAACAACTAGTGTCTCTATTTTATTCTGCATGTCAATGGCCTGAAACGGAATCTATCAGAACTAGAAATTATATAGAAATCTGGGCAGCATTAGATGAAGAATGCTTAAACAGAATGAAGGAATGGAGTTTAGATCAATTGTTATCTTTCATTTCATTATTTTATATGTTAAATGTTACAAGGTATAGTGATTTTTCATTAAAGTCTCTACAAAAACTAGCCACAAAATCTAAACAATTAACAACTAGTCAATTGGTACAGACATTGTTTTTTGTTGGCATTCTTAGAAAACCACCTTTTGATATGCATTTTTTGGAAGTATGTTTTGATAATACATTTTCAGACTACACAATAGATGACATTGCTATAATATCTATGGGGTTTTTCAAAAGTAAAACTCCTTTGAGAAGTGTAGATTTAGTGTGTAAGATAATTGATAAAGTTATTGAAAATGCTGCTGATATCCATGAAGTGTCTCTTGCCGCTCTCTTGAAAATCATAAGATATTCAATGAAAGTAGTTAATCATAATAAAATATATGAACTTCTGGATGTTCTTCAACATCAAGTACCTAGGTTATCACATATGTGTAATGTCCACATTGCCTTACTTGGTTCCTCTACTTTAACATTACACAAATCTTGCCTGACCACAATTGCTGAAAAAACTGTTGAGTCAATGTCTGAAACAAGATTAAAAGACTTGGAAAGATTAGTATTGACATATGGCACTTTCAACTGGAAACCTGAAATGGAAAGATGTTTTTTACAAGCTGTAGTAGATGAATTGAGAAAACCGGAAAGGAGTAGTGAAATTAATAAACATGGCAGATCATTTGCTTGCACCATATCATTTTTAGGTCTACTAGGAATTTATCCAATAGATTTGATGAACAAAGTTTTAGACCCAGATTTTTTGAAAAACACATATGGAAAATATTATGTTCTATATGGTAGAGAAATATTAACTATTAACAATTCAGCTGAAATATTCTATCCGAATAATAGCATGAATCGCTTGAATGACAAATGTTGTGTCTTATTAGCTAAGAAGTACACTGACTATGTTCCCAGTGACAATTATAAGAAACAATATAATGTAACTGAAAGAATGTTCTTGGATGTCATGCGAATATTAAAAGAATCCCGTGGAGGCGATGATTTTGTTATAGGTGATCATATCTTACCACACCATCAGAGAGGAGGTAAAATCTTGAACAATTCATAATGTTATTTAAGAGATACTGCTTTCTATGTTGAGAGCTCAACAGTAAAATTGTAATGCTGATGGTTATTTATGCTATATCATGTAAAATTGGCTTGACTGGACACAAAGTGATACAACATAGTGTTATTAGCATATCAAAGCATTTTATAATTATTATTTAATTAATTTTTACTATCATTATAAATAATTCTTTTGTTTTAGACATAATTATTTGCAATGATTGTAATGGAACAGCAGTTCCTGTGGCGGACATATTTAAAGAGATGAAATTTGGATTAATTCGTAAAGTTCCAAATGATAATAAATGGATTGTTCTAGTAATTGCTGGTAAAAATGGAACAATTCACAGTTACAATACACCATCTGGACATTTTTTAAGTAAGATCAACGAACTGAATACTCTTGGCTACTGTGCTGCATTGGTAAAGTTTATTTTTATTTATTTGTTTCTTGATGCCAAATTTCTTATAAGTTACATAAAATCCGTTAATTGCCGACGCGCATCATTTAATATTTTCAAATTTCGTAGAGTATAGAATTCAGTATAGTACCGGGCAAACCTACCGCCATTATTCGGAATAATTTAGTTTGTTATCGGTGTTTCCATCACCAGAGAGTAAAATTGAAGTGCTACAAAGATTTTGTTGTTTTGGTCAGATTTGAAATGACGATTACAAAGTCGGCTAGTATCATACTAGGCCGCCATACTCTTTCATTTGATATGTATATGTATATTAAATTGCACCAACGCGCAATTATGGGGTAAACAATACAATAATGATATGTAAATAAATTTGCATAGCTTATTTGTGATATAACTTACAAATAGTATTAATGAAGTGTGAAACACATCACAATCTTGTAGTAATTTATCTGTCTAATACTTATTTATAAGCGTCACACACTCTCATATAATTTACATTACGTTACATACATATCAACATTGTATTGTATATCAAATAACATGTGCACAAAAAATATACCATATAATAAGTCATTGTTTAGAAGGAAGTATCAAATTTACAGAATTATTGTTTTCAGGTGCATTGGTCGAAGTATTCGGCATTGGAGACAAACGAAGATAAATTAAATTATATTAATGAAGTAATCAAGGAAGCAATTAGCAATAAATGTACAAAGTAATCATCTTACATTTTTTCTTGTAGATAAATAAGGGATGGTACCTTTGAAATTTTCTTTAACATAATTTCAGTGATAATATACCAAAAAGAACGAAACATAAAAAATTTGGATTTTTTAAAATCTACTGACCATTTACTACCACATTAAGGTGAAATCGAAAAGATCTGATATAGTCCAGTAAATAAATAAATCATTAATAAAAATATATAGTATATTTTTTAATTTGATTAAATTAAAATTTAAAACTGTTGTAAGAAGACTCAATATAATTATCTAAATATCTGTACTCTGTGGCATCCACCATGTATTAGTGAGAGTATATCACACCCCTCACCTTGCATACCTCAGTAAGGCATAAAATATGTGTATCGAAGATTTTCTTCAGGTATAAAAACTTGTTATATATTCTTATAGAAAACTTTAAGTTAAAGGGTAACTTAAAGTAGGTAAATATTAAATAAATATTTTTAAAATAAAAATAAGTATGTGACATTGTAGGTACCGATCGGATTTAGTTTTCAATTTTCTATATTATATATCGACTAACTATTAATACTACTTTCCGGTACAAAGCAAAATATAATGCAATCTAGCAAATAAACAATTAATAATGATTGCTGCATTAATTAAAAACAATTGACGAGCTATTTCCACATTGCACCCAGTGTTCCGATTGATCCCAACATCCAAAGTACCGTTGCTTCAAATAATACAGCTTTAAATCTTGTGTAGGACAGAGCCCAGGAACAGGTAGAGGTCTATCCATATCTTCAATCTCTCTTTTGGATCCCAAATATACATTTTTATCTGCCCATTTTAAACGATTTTTCTATGGAAAAGAGACAAACCGCGAGTTAAATTTGTTGTGAAATGAATCAGCTAGCGACGAAGACCTTTATGTATTGATTTTGCAGTAGAAGAACAGACAGTGTTAAGAGCAAGTTACAGCTTCGTCCTATACGACTGAAAGAAGCACATAGCACTTCCTAGCTGTGCACGCAACTTCCTCCGTGGAATAGGGACCATGGCCAAATAAAGAAAAAATATTTAATTATTTAACCCAAAAATCGTATAATAAATCCAAAGGCGTTTATAAATGACAAATTTCCATACGAACTTTTATCCCTTATTATTTGACCCCCTTAAGGGTAAAATTATTTATATTTAATCAATAGCCTAAAAGTTTCAACCCTCTAGTTTTGAAAATGACTATACTCCCATTCAACATTTCGTCTCCACTATCAACCACGTATTAAAAAGTATCCTATGCCTTTCTCAAATTTCATATAAATGGGTCCAGTAGTTTTTGCGTAAAAAAGCAACAGACAGATAGATAAGAGTTACTTTCGAATTTTTAATATTAGTAAGGATGATTGATTTTGGTAAGGGCATCATGCTAATAAATTATTTTTTCCAACGCCTTGAATATGGAAAGTTTGAATTTAGTATGCGTCGCATTCTTTATAGTAATTATAACTATTATACCTATTTTTCATCCACAACTAGGACACAGAATTTCCGCCAATAATTTGCAATAGTTGTTATACTATTGGTATTATATTATGCATTGCGCAAGAAATACATTGTTTTAGTCGTCAGGAACGGCAACGTGTTGAGTTGTTGTGGGCAATACGGTATATAAATTTTCTGTGAGAGCAATCAACAATTCTTTTTACATTTACATTTAATATATATTTATCTAATCCGTTCCCGAAATATCCTGAGTGCTAAGTAACAGCTTTGTGTGAGTTTTGCATATTTTAACTTAATAATATTGCATGTGTCACTTCAGAATAATGTAGGTACTTGTTACACGGGTGTAGTAAGTTTACTTTTCACTTAACAATATGCGTTCTCTGTATAATTTCAGTACCTATGTATAGATTATTTTTATGTAGCAAATCAATTAAATTATCTAATTATATAGATTCGATCAAGATTTGTTTCATGTGCCCTATCAGAACTCACTTCCTTGTGGTATAAATACAATTTTACTCACAAATGGTATTTTCAGGGTTAAATCTTGGTAATCTGTTTCTGTGGAAGTCTCTGAGTAAGGCCACCTTCGCAATTTATTATTTATTTCCATAGCATAACTACACCACAGTTCCCAAAATATCTAAAAATAATTATATTTGAAAGCATTGTGATTAATTGATGAATTCGTTACAATAGGGTCACAGAGCTGATTCATCCTCATTGTTCTCCACAGGAGGTCTGATCCTGCGCTAACACCAATGTCATAAAATAAAATATGTACATAGTTGTATTATATAATATTACTTAAGTGCTATACCTCTCTTTTTTTCATGAATCCTAACTCAAAATATTTTATTAGACTGTTATTGATGATAAGTTTAAGTGATTGCCGAATGCTTTGTTTAAATACAGACATTTGTACAGATCGAATTGGATATAGATGACACAGTTCTAATTTACTGTCTTCTATCATATCGAAGTGAGAGATTGCCGTCTTTGGAGTTTTCGAGGCAATTATTAGTTTATCGGATGTTAGACCTGAAATAAACAATAAAGCGGTAATTTTCATGGCATAGTAGCACATTGCTATGCATACCTATATTGCATTAAAAAAAAAATTCTAGTAGTAGTTCCTACATGCAGAAATGGTGTCTTTGGATATATGCATTTAAATGCAGATAAAAATTCATTTGGCATAATATTAATTTATTAACTAACTTTCAAAGTAGAAGATTCTCGCAAATTTCACTGCATTTATTTTCAAGTGATAAGTATATGTATATAGTAAGAAATATTCTATTTTCTGATTTTACTGTCAATTATCAAATACCTATAATGGATAAAATCGGCAATAATTTTAGTAGTTGTAGTTCTAGTTCCAAATAACCATAATGCATTTTATACCCATAACATTTATTGTATATATGTATATTTATAGCTTACTAGTTATAGGTACCCGCGGCGTTGTGCGTGTGCCAATTTTATCAGTCAATTTTATTAAGCTAATACCTAATATAATGATAATAGGTAAAACAATTCAAGTATATCTTAAGTTTACCTATCCATTAGAAACATACAACAACTATAAAATATCAAAATGTAGAAAAGACCAAATCTTTCCTTTTTATACTATTAATTTTTAGTGATTTCGCAAGTGTGGAGCGTGTATGGTATTTTGCATTCTCGTTGGTCTTTAAAAGACTATATTTATAAGATTGTTGGAAATCAAGATACTTACATTGTTTTTTTTTAGACATTACGATCTCTATAAACTCCAAAATCATCTAGTGTGTATTACATATGTAATTTGTATTTTACCCACCTAACTGTACCATGCTTAATCGTTGACCATCTCTTGATGTTTCAATGAAAGGGCTCTCTATCAATATAGTACTAGCACGTTCATCATATTCTTCTGTAAGTAGCCTTCGCAAAGCACCATATGACATAATACCTGACTCATAGATCAGTGTGATCTAACAATATATTCATTATATTTATTATACTAGGAACAATTATTGTTTTTTTTTTTTCTTTTTAATGGCTTAACACACTGATAATTTGCCACATGAAGGAGGTGTACCTATGATAGTTGTTTATATTTTTTTGATTAATCTTCTTCATAATATAAACAGACTAAAATATTTGTAGCTACGGCTTTTCTTAGACTTTTTTCTGTGTTTGTATTTTTCCGCGTGCACGAATAATAATATTTCAGGACAATTCACACAGCGCCATCTAGTTTCTAGCTAAGCACACCTTATGTAATGGGTAGTAGAGAACTGCTACAAATACATAGATGCATTTTTTAATACATACATAATATACGTAGAAAATACCCCGAGCGATACAAACAATCATACTCATGTTTGGCTTGATTAGGCTTGACTTGTAATAAAACAAATTTGTAGTAATATTTATTTATTAATATATGACTTAGGAAATTCAAACAAAATATTTATTTAAATAACTAATGCAACCTCAGAAATGAGGCATAGTAAATCTTTACAAATCACAAATTTTATTTTTATAAATAATATGTAAGTCCAAAATATGAATAACGTATCATGCACGTTCAGCAGGTATTTTTTTTTGCAAGTATATATATCCTATTTTGACATTAAAATTTAATAATAAATAAATAGCTAACTTTGGTTGAAAGTTCTAATTGTAACCAAATATGTAGGTATCTATAAAATATATAATGTTTTAAACAAAGTTTTTAGAAAACGTTTTACCTAAAGCATAATAATATAAATTCCTACAATAAGAAGATAAATAAAACTAATTTTTATGTGTTGTACGAATAATATTATTCATCGACCAGTATCAGCCTGCAAACAAAAAAGGTTAAAGTTAATAAATAAAAAATGAGGAACAAAAAATATTACGATTATGATAACAAATTGTAACTTCAGATGGGGTATTCAGAGAGAGATATTGCTTAGTTGAATGTTACAGATAAATATTTTAATAATTATAAATTATTAATATTCAATAATTACGCACTTTTATTAATACTTAGGTAAGATTAATTATTCAAGAATCATCTACATCATTGCATAATAATCAATTTAAAAATTTTTCGTGTTTTTGTATGACGTCGGAGTTCTACTCAGTTCTGATATACACAGAATATAAATCATTGCGCTAATAGAATATGATCATTACTTTTACGAGTACCAATATATAATAATAACCCAGAACAATTCACATAGCACCTGCTAATTCCTAGCTAAATATAGCTAGCATAGCTGGGTACTAACTACAACTGATATAACCAAAAATATCGCTAATGTTCAACATTATTTCAAGTACCTACTTAAGTACCTAGTTCATTTAGATATAAGGAAAACATAATCTATGTAATTTAATTATTGAGTTGCATAAAACAATGTTTGTGAACTAGAATCTAGACAGAACTTGGGGACTTCCATACAACCAATAATGGGTTAGATAAAAACAAAAAAATATGCGATAATAAAATAGAGCACACTTTCCTGCACCAAAATAAATAGAATGTACACTTTAATTGTGAATAAAAATATATTATTAATATTCTTAAATATTAGGATGAATGTGACAGTGCTGTATTTATTTTTATTGATAAAGGCCTCGAAGGCTATTACAATAAAAGTAATAAAATTACATTTGGCATATGATTCTCCGGAAAGAAAAAAAGTTAGGAATCACTTGTGCGTAGTATAGATTTTTTTATATACCATGATCTACATATTTCAGAAGACTGTAAATTATATTATAATGTTAGTAAGTGACGATTCTAACAGATCTTAAAACGTGAATCATGCAATTAACATTGTATTAATAACTCATAGAATTCATTTAAGGTAGAAAAATAATTACAATAATTTGGTAGAGTCACGTGCCATATGCTATTTCACATAGCATTTATGACGGTCAATACTTCAACTTCGCAACTTTGGGTATAGATATTGATGGAGGTAGTGGTAAAAGATTATTGCCGTATCTAACATGAAAGTTTTTATCTAAAGAAGAATCGCTATCTTCTTTTGTATTCGTATCTTTAGATAAGAAGATATATCTTTTTCGATCTATATCATCCTGAAAAAGATGTTATCAGAATATTTGATCATAATATGTATATATACGATATAATATAGTCTGGGTAATTTTAATATATTACTCACCAAAGCATCAGTCTTTTTTCTTAAATTGGATCTAGATAGTGTTAAAGTCAATTCAGATTGTAGTCTATTTGAGATTGATACATCATTATCTACTTGGTCGCCATCAGATCTGTCACCGTTCAGGAAATCTAACTTGGTTGGTTCTCTTCGCCCATTAGTGCCACCAACATATTCGCCTATTGTCACGGATACGGGTCGCCCATGTTTTTTCATTGTAGCTGTACCGTTCGGTGCTCTGACAAAATAATTTGAAGGAGGCTTAGGTTGCACATTTGCGGGATTTTTTAATTTATAAGATTCGAGTGATTCAATATCTGCCTTCTCCTCTTTATTATTTAATTTCGGTACAGGAATATGAGAATCAGCCTTATTGTTATAATCTGGCGTAGGCGTTCGAATCAATGTGCCATTTTTCCTAATGTTTGAAGGTTTATTGTAATCCCCATTAATTGATTTCGCAGCTAGCTTTTCACCATTGGAATCATTTGATTCAACTTTCTTCTGTTGACCATTTACGATGGGCATCTGAAATGTTGAATGTCTAGATTGGTTATTTAAATTAAATCAACATCTGTACCTATACGTACAAATTATAAGTTTTACGACGCTTATCCATATACCCTATAGGTTATCTATATATGTAATATTGTCAGAATCATTAGTTACTCTATTTACGTATTTCCTACTTCACGAAAATATTTTCATATACTTTATATATTTTTATGGCGTGTCAGCTTGTTTGTCTTTCAAATCACGAAATACACCTTTATAGCCCATATGTGATAAAAAAAACAATAAAAACAGCAGTCATAAGGATATTTTAAAGTTATTATTAGTTTGACAAGGTTTATATTTAATCCAATTATAGATAAATAGATTACACATCATAGATACTTAAGAGCCAAAATATAAATATGTTGTGAATTTACTTATTCGCTATCTGTTTTATATTATAAAATAAAGAATATCACACAAAGAATCATCAAAATCAATTTAGATTGGGACTCCTCGGTTGATAAACAAAAACAAATCTCAGTATAATTAGAGATATAAAACTAAAGTAAAGAATATATAAGAGAAGATAATGTGAAACTAACCGGTGGTGGGGGTGGAGGGTTGTCGGTGGACTCTCGCTTTGGTTGCACGTGATTATTGACCGCGACAGCTGTTGGTGAATTCTCCACCCTCCTCAATGGCAACGCTTGTTGACGATCCTGAACAATTATGAAGAAGTATGCAATTACACATTAATAATTTTAAATCTTGGTATACGTAATAGTGGTTAACATTTTCTTGTAACTTCTAATAGGAGTACATACGACCTCAATTAGATTACATATTTTATATATAATTATATGAAATAATCGCTGAATAAAGTAACCATGAAAATGAAATTAGATAACATTAGTACAGAACAAGAATTTGAGTAATCTAAAACCTAGAACTAAATATAGAGATCTAATATAATGATACATTTAGACTAAAGGATTGGGTAATGTAATGAACAGTTACTGTCTACATAACAATTAAATATAAGTACTATAATTAATTTTCAAATGAATACTACTAATGTATTTTCACACTATAGTTATATGAGTATATATAGTAGTACTTAAATAGAGATCACTTCGGCAATATAATATAGGACTAAATATACCGTTACTTGTCTCTGCAAAATATTGTTATTATATTATATTATTATGTTATACAGGTACTACATAATTCTATTAAGATTCTGTATTCATAGGAGATTGAAAAGATGATTATTATGTACTCTCTATTCTTTTCTATATGATTCTAATTCTCCTGATTACATTAGCAATCAATTTCATTTCCAACACAATTCGCTCTATTCGCACGACCAGAAAATGTTTACTTCATATACCGGCTCATTTGTCCGGTTTCGTCCACTATTCTTTCGCCATTCAGGCTATCAAACATTGGAACGACTTACCCCTTGATATCAAGACCGCCACGAGTAAGTTTTCTTTAAAGCGTAAATTGCGGAAATACTATTCCAGCATGTAACTTTTCTATTATGTAGAATAGTTTATTTTTTCTTTTTGCGTGACTCATTGTTTATTTATTTGTACATCTTTTCTATGTTATAGTTGCCAGAATTTGTTTTTTTTTTGTTATGTTCTATCTGCTGTTGCTATTTCAGACTATTACCTAAGTATTGTATGAGATGTAAAGTGTTATATGAGATGTATATGGTAGATATATTTAGGTATGTATTTTATTCATATTCATCTATAGCTTTATATATATTGTATGTATTTGTATCTGTATGTTTACATGTAATTACGTAAATACTTTAGTAAATATATATTATTTATGACATAGGTATTATTTTTCTTATTGATTACATTTGCACCACCTACAGTTTCTCTGCACAACCTGTGGTTGACTGGTAGAAAATGCCGTAAGGCGTTAAGTCCGCCATATGTACTTTTAACTTGGTATTTTGTGCATTGAAGTTATATAAATAAATAAATAAATATTAGTCATGGAGATTTTATCATGATAGGCCAACTGACTTTACCTCATGCTCATCTTATCATTCTCCACAGTTACCCGGCCAGCACATACGGTTATTGCTGATGAGGGCATTATTATCAATAAAAAAAATATACTATATTCATTCAAACATAATATATTATTGACATTGAAACTTAGCCTTTCACCGCGATATTGATCAATTTTTAAGATAATGCAATAATAATACAGTATAACACGTAACAGAATAAACACAATTCCGTATTCGTAACAAAGTTCCGTAAAAAAATACAACTAGAAGGCTCGCTAAATTATAATAAAATTGATACTATGGAAGTACTTTATGTAGTTTTGCAACTGCAAAATGATTTGTAAATAAATCTGCTTACTATACAACAGATACCACAGTCTAGTACCAAATACTGTTGTAGTCAACACACCTAAGTCCTGCGAAATGGCATAGTATAAAGAGTATCAATGTGCGTATGATATTGGTACAGTTCATGAATATAGGCGTCCGTTACCATTTACCGTTCAGAGAATGCATTAGGTCTGTTAGACGTAGTCTTTAATGATAATGTAACAATATATAATATATTAAAAATAATATATACCGAGAAACAATAGACTATGTCAGATAGAAACAACTTGACGGATTATTTATACTACAGGCAGATACTGAAGGCCAAACAAATGACGCTATAACATGCTCATACTCAAGATTATTGTTATACTAATTTCTATAATAATCAGACAATACTTAACGCCATATTTTCAAGATCTTTACATACTTGACGGCCTCGGTGGTGTAGCGGTTTAGCATACTGTTTACTTCCGATGATCGCGGGTTCGATTTCTAGCTCGATGCATACATTTGCATTCATGATTATGATTGTTTATATTCGTCTGTGTATTTTTTAAGTACATATATTGTGTATGAATTTACAAAATTATATACAAATAAATCTTTCTATCATTCAGCTTACTACTCCTAACACAGCTATTCTTAGCTTGGACTAGATAGTGCTGTTAGTTGTCTAAGGTTATAATTATATACTTATAGTGAAAATGTAAATGATCGCTGTGCATGAAGGATATTTAAGGAAACCTATTATTTACTGACTTTATTCTAACAACACACACAACCAATGGGTTGTTAGAATTTTTGATTAATTTTCTCTACATTTGTGTGAACTAATTTCAAAAATAGCTTAACCGATTTGGAATCGGTTTTTAACAATATGGTATTAAAAACCGGATCAACCGTGGTAAGCTTCACTTAAAATATACTATTTTTATATTTTAATACATTTACAAATAAAAAATATATATTATATAAAAATATATATTGTTACACGAATATGTCGCGGGCTAACTATACATATAAATAAAATTGGAGTATCTGTAATATTGAAATAACCGTTTCTTACTACATGCATATGAATATAAATACACCAAAATAACATTTTTTACATTTTTTGTCTCTGTCTGTCTGTCTGTTTTTTCATGGCTAATCTCTGAATTACTTGATCGATTTTGACGGGGCTTTTTTTGGCAGGTAGCTGATATAATAGGGAGTGACTTAGGCTAGTTTTATTTTAGAAAAATAAAGTTAAATTCCACGCGGACGAAGTCGAGGGCACAGTTAGTTCTATATAAGATTATCTAATGTAGGTACCCGATACCCAGTATTTTTTAATATTTTCATCGTTAGCTTGCTAATACGTACCTAATATCCTTCTTAACGTAGAAAACACGTCACGTGCACAGATGCATATTATTATGATGATATCACTTACAAGGTCATCTATTCTCATTTGAATATTAGCTTATATATATCGTTCTACATGGTTATAGCTAACTACAGCCTATTATAATAAGTTAACTATATATGGTACATAAAACAAATATGTTATCAGAAGAGGAAATAATAGCCTATATTTATTTCATTTTCATTTAGCTAGCTGGTATCTATTTCCAATTTTCTAATGACTCTAATTCTAGATGGTCTAGTCAGGGCTATTATCAACTGTCTCACAGATATTGTGGTGAGCAACTTTATACTTGATATATCACTTTCCGCAATACGACAAGAAGTATAAAACTTTTACACTTGGAACTGTATTTACAGTATTTTTTAAATATAACTAAATAAATAACCCTGGACAATTAATACAGCGCCATTTAGTCCCAGGGTAAGCTGTGCTTGTGTTATGGGTACTAGACAACTAATACAAATACTTAGATGTTTTTGTAAATACATACATAATATACATAGAAAACACCCAGACCGATACAAATAATCTATTCATGAAAACAAATGATTACACAGTGCAAGAAATCAAACCCGCTACCATCGGAAGTAAAGCGGTGTGCTAAACCGCTTGATGACCGAGGCATCAAAAAACATTTATACAATAAAATAAGACTTAGTAATTAGTATTTTAATTAGTATAAATCAAATCTTTATTCATCTTAGTGCGCAGGTCACTAATTTGAATGCATTGAACCAGAATGCAAATGAAACCCTGCCTGGATGTCCTTTTATCATATTCCTTAACTAATGTAAATATGTTTGTATAAATACATATTTATATTGTGTTTATGCATGCTATACCTACCTAATCAATCAGCGCTTTTCATAATTATACATTAAGCCGTTTATGTTTGATTAAATATCTAAATAAAGGAGTATTAAAATGTAAAGTATCAAAACAAATTTCTTTATAATTTGTACATAATAATGCCAGGACCAACATCCATTTCTTTGTTCAGGCACTATTCCAATCTTATTTGTATATTTAAAATAAACACTATCATAATTTCACCGTAATATGGAAGGGGACTCCTGATACACAGGAATTTTCTATATGTATATAAAGACTATATGTACGAATGGGTACGTTGTTCAAATATTATTGTATTAAAAACAAAAACATACTGATTTCCTAACATTTTAAAAGAATGTATGCAATACAAGAAAACTCGCTTTACTGGTCGATCCCTCTGTCTACGCAAGTAAACGAACAGATAGACAATATAGTTTTTACTAATATGTCTAGTAAGTTTCATGACACAGGTAAATTTTACCTGCTCATTTAACACAATCATATGACCAGAGTATAATAGGTATATTGTTGATGATATCATCGTATAATTTGTTTTTTATTCAAGTAGTTAAGTACCTGTATAGGTATTACATACATAAAACGAACAAGGATATCTGAATATTCAACTGTTATCATTAGTAAAACTAGCTACATATCAGTTAACCACACAGATAACTCAATCATAAGAGTTCTCATTATCTCATATTGGTTTAGGTATCTACCTAGTGATCGACTCGTAACACTAGTGGTATGGTATTTTACATTTATCCATTTGATCATAAATTGTGAGTTTAGCTAGGTAACTATTACTACCTACATATGTCTAGTGAAGTTTATTGCTTTGTTCATAATAAATAACAAGTATTACTATAATTAATAGTGGTCAACTTACTTCGTAGCACTGAATAATAACCAATGGCTTGGATTTATTATTCTTCATAATGTATAATTTTGTTACGGCTACCACTCTATCACGAAACTACTTCTCAACGTTTACGACACCGTTTAATAACACTGCAATACTGTACTGTTCACGAAGTACCAAGCATTAACTCTAAATTTGTACATAACGTTCAATTTTAACGAAAATCACGCAAATAAATGCAAGAGCGCATGAAGGTCGCGATAATTTTTCCGAAGCGCGGAAAATTGGCAGAATTATTGTGGCTCGCGGCTCGACTATAGCCGCAGCCGTAACTCGCGACGCGGTCGACAAAATGCAACAAGATCGGCGACTGAGCGTGTAGAGCAAGCGCGGAGTCGCGCTCCGGCAACAGCCAACAGCCGCCGCGACCGACAAAGCGGGCCGCTTATCAGTGCAAGGCGGAATCATGTGAAATCATGCCCCCAATGCCTTTAATAAATTGAATATCAACTCAACTATGTCCAACCTTCTCTATTTCTCTTTTACTATCTTATTATCTTTAACCATAACGGAACTGGACGATTAAATATAAACAAAATATGTAGATACATCCAATTTTATCATTTGCGATTAAAGTTAGAAGGAAATTCTAAATAGTATTTTGTGTACTATACGTACATAAAATACTATTTAGAAGAGTTACGCGATATGCAGCAAGAAGCTTTATACAAACTGATCGCACACATCTGCACTTCTATCTCACAGGTCCTTTATAGGTAATATTTAATTCGTAATATAGTTACATAATATGTACTTCTCCAGCATGCACAACATACCCATATGGTATACAATATACATTACAAATAGTAAGGAAAACTACCTAGATGCCTAATTCTCAATTTGACTCTACTTTTTTTATAAGTATGTTCCGAGACATTTTAGTTTACTACATATAAATAATATATACTTCTTTTTGTAATTGATACCGTTTTCTCTTGGTTTTGTACTATTTTTTTATAAAGGAACTTAATTATTTTTATTCTACTTAGCTATAAAAAACGGAAATGATTGTTGTGTATGTATTTTTGTTTTGCGTTATAATCTTGAGATTTATAGACTTTAGTAACGGTTCAGTAAACGCAACCTTATATAATCATGCAGTAGTAATTTGTGTCGAAATGGTGCGCTTTATTCATTTTGTTAAAGTTATAACGTAACGATTTTGTTACATCGGTTGGTAGTTGGTACCCAATTCTTAGTTGCAGTTGATGCAGTGTGTGCATCTTCGATAGATATATCTATTTCTATTATGCACATACATAACTATTGCCTATAACAATTATATGCTACCTCCGTAATGCACCGACTACACATACTGTAAGCCAAGCACAATTACCTACGATATGTAATAAGCTATACAGTCATAATACACAATTGCACATTGCATATCCTAAGTGATTCAAAGTAAACTGCACAGCGAATCTTTTTCTACGTACCTACATAGCATTCAATTAATATTATTCTATCCTATTAATCATAGCGGAATACTTAGTAATTTTATTAGAGTAATAGAAAGTTCTCCGAACATTTTATCTCAGTGCTTGAGTTATTATTGTCGTTATTATAATAATATATTTATATAAACCTCATTATTTTATATAGCATATATTAGTTTGTAATGACTTTTAACTTTTTAGCCGATATAGTGTAAAACAGGTACAAATTTGTGATTAAGTATTTGCTTAATGAGAATAAGAAAATACATAAAAGTTATTTACTGATCTATAGTATACAAAGCTGCATTATTCTATCATTTTAAATGCAGTGAACTCTTATATGATCAAAGGTAAAATGTAAAACTAAACAGCAATGAAGTTAAACATATGTGTGACTTAATAGAAGTAATAATTATTCTTATATACTATTTTTCCTAGTTATGTTGAAAAATCGACTACTTACAAAAGATAGTTGACTTAAAGTGTCACCAAAGACAGTTTCAAAAAGACAGTGTATCAAATACATAGCAGTTGCTATAATGTTTAAATAATGAATGTATTTTATTTTGTGTAATTGTAAAAAATATTAGCATTTTGCCCTCTTTCTCTATATATACTATAAGTTTGCGAAATTTCATACTCCTCCGTCCTCGCAATTTTCATAAAAAGTTAAATAAAAAGGGGTACCTACAAAGTTTCTACTTCACGTTACGAAATATAGTTTTTAGATAACCGTAATTTTGAACTATTAAAGGAGTAAGAATACTAAAGAAATACATGGATTATATATTTTTTTAATCGAATTAAGTGTTATTTCGCGGGAATCCATTTCCTTACTTAATGGATTTATATTATTTTGATTAATTTAAGTCTCTCAAATGATTATTACTTTTAGAGATTATCACCCACGCACAACGGCTTAGAGGATAAATACGGTAAATAGTCAAACAGGGATTATCCTGTCACACGTTCTCCCATTCTTTACTGTGACACCTGTGTATAATGGACATGAATAATACATTTAAAAAATGAGTAGTAAGATAAAAGTACCAGCCCACATATCGGGGAATAATATCATGCTCTAACTAATACGAGCAGAGGATTATGAAAAACGTAGACAATATTACGTGGGGTAACTAGTTTAATTATTAATCTATTACATGTTAGCTTACCTACCTGTAGTCATAGATGTGGAATTAAGATCTTCATACTTACCAAACTATCTCCTTCGGTTGCTTCATTACTATTTTTTTCAGGAGTACTATTTTCTTGATTTGCAAACATTTTCCTATGCACTTTTTTAAATTCATCCATTAACGCATCGTGTTGTTTTTTCTGATCATTATCTATAGTTTTTGGTACATTAGCTTTCTTCACTGGAGGTGCAGTTGCTTCGTTAGACGAAACGTTCGCTGTGTTTTTTTTATTCTAAAAAAGAATAGTACCGTTTGGTATCAAGTTGTAAGTATTAAATTTATTTTACAAAATGCGCAAATATACAAAAAAAAACAAACTAGAATAGGCCATTCCCACTATTTAACTCCTACTCATTCTATTATTTACTCATTCTTCGAAGTTTTTTCCTCTGATCTCAGTTTGTGTCATATATGAATTAGATATGATTGTGCTAAAAAGCATAATATTTCTTCTAGGAATATTGATAATACCTATAACTATTAACTAAATATAAATATTAAATCATAATTGAATTTACAGTACACGTTATCTACGCGCTTTAAATTACTCACTAACTTTTAATTTGTCATTAATTAAAAAAGTGTTTAGGATGTCATTAATTCATTAATATTCTAAAAGAGGAAAATAGATATTAATTAATAAGTTTAGTCATACTGTATGTGACTAAACCTGTCGATCTGAATATATTTTATCGTAAACAATGATATTCTAAAGCGTTATCTAATCAATGATGTATTGAATATCATATAATCAAAGCAAAAGTACCACTGAAATAAATATCTATGTTGACTAAGTGATGTATGTGGACATGAACAAAGCCGGATATTTCTTTGTCCAGGAGTGATTCCCAAATTTACTTATGATGTAGTTATTTATTTATATTTCATTTCGACTAGAAAATGGTAAATACTGCTATATTAATGAATGAAATAACTAAGCAGAGCTTATGTTAGGGTGCTAAACAACCATTTTTAAATTAAATACTATTATTATTATTTTGGAAAGTATCAAGAATAAAGTAAATTACTGCATGTTCAAGGATAGAAAGAATGAATTTACCAATTTCCTTTTTTGTATCTCTTCCGCAATGGCACTTGACAATGTGGTGGAACTAGAAACACTAGATGAGTCTGACATGTCATTTTTTGGAGGCGGTGGATAGTTGCAGTGGGATTTCCCACATGCTGCTGTACTCGTGTGGTGAACCTCAACTACTATAGTCTTTTTCTCATTATCTTTATTCAAATGGCTGCCTGAATACTTGCTTTTTCTAGGCGATTGATTGTCATAACTACATTGTATAGTCGCACCGTCCTCAGTCAAATTTATGATTGTTCTATTCGATGGGCTCGTTATGAAATCGTTGTTTTTACATCTCATACTTTTATTTTCGTATGTATGTGGATTATTTGGTATACTGGGACTATCATAGTCAGGTTCGATATCTGAAGGAATGTCAAAATTGTGTATATTACCATTTTTCCAATCAAAATCTAAACTGTCCCATGTTCTTCGTTTCATTCTATTCATAGTCAATCTGAAACAAAATTCATATAATAATATAAACATTTTAATAGCATATTATGCTTAAATATGATTACGTAGTTATAAACAATTTAGTAATCAATGAACACATAGGGCAAAACTACAATTTCATATATTGCAGTTTGGCTTACAATTATTTTAATCATCATTATTTTAAGCAGCTTTTATCATATCACAGCTGAGAATGTTTCGCACTCGTAATAAAAGGATTCAGGACTGCACAACATTAGCTTTATATCACATTTATTTTGAAATTTTCTGTTCATACAACGCCAGATACGCCGCATTTGTTTTTAGGTCTCAAATTCGTACTGCGTATTAGAAAAACTGTTTCATTACATAAATTAGAGAATTACAATAGAGATTTGTGACTACATTTCTTATGCCTTATCACAGTACAAATACATTTCAGTCACGAAACAGTCCTACAATTTAATACATGGTCTGTACCACCTGTCGGAGTAGGCTCAGGGTATCCGTTAAAAAACCTATTATATTTTCGATTAGACACAAGCAAAGCTGGTCGAATTGGATAGTAGCAGTAATGATAGAACATTGGAAATCATAAGCTGAAAAGGTCTTTATATGAATAAATGATTTTGAATTTGAATTAGGTAATGGTAACATTGTACTTCGATCTGAATGATCTCTACAATCTCTGATATAAGAGGCTTTAGATAAGATAAAGGAAATAAAACATGATGTTCATGATATTATTGTTTACCAAATACACATCATACGAACCTATCAGCTCTGTCAGCAGCCTCCTCAGCAACACTTGCCAACCGACGTCGTAGAGCAGCCGGTGGCGCCAGAGGTGTAATTGGTGCAGGTGGTGCGGGACTGCGTTCACCAGCCGCTGACGATGCAGAACTATTATACCCCGAACTCTCCGGTGATACTAAGTCTGCTCCCGCACCTTCCCGAATTACCAATTCTAGACGACCTGTAGCTTTCATGGCTGATATTGCCTAGAATTGAAATAAAAAATTAAGTATCTTGCAAGAGCATATATATAAGTAATTGAAAAAATAAAAATTATTCATATTGCACACACTTGCGTGTACGTGGAATAACGCCCACTACTATAATTCTTTTTATTTTCAGGGACAATTTTATTTTTGCAACATGGATACTTCCATACTTGTTCCTGCTGGACAAGTCAATGAATGACAATTCTAGGTAAAGATTACTTTGTTATGACAATAAATAACAAAATAATTTGTCGGCCTCGGTGGTCTAGCAGTTTAGCTCACCGCTTTACAACCCATGGTCGCGGGATCGATTCCTCGCACGGTACAAACATTTGTATTCATGAGTAGTATTGTTTGTATCAGTCTGGGTGTTTTCTATTTATATTATGTATGTAATTATGAGAAGTACATATATATCTATTTATATAGTATTTATATCAGCTGTCTAGTAACCACGACACAAGCTCTGCTTACCGAGGGACTAGATGACGTTGTGTTAAAAACATTTTTATAATAAATTATACAAACCTCATTAAAAGATACATTTGCAAAATCTTGCCCATTACATGATAGAATTTGATCACCAGGCCTCAAACCTGCCTCGCGGGCTATGCCTCCTTCTCGAACAAATTGTACAAAGATGCCCGGTTTCCATTCAGGACCTTTGCAAATTCTACAAATAAAATAACTTTAAAGTTATGACTGAGAATTTGGTAGGTTATCTAACATTTACTACTTAGGTACTTATTCAATATATTTTGGATTGTTTATATATTAATTTAATATGAAAAATACTGTCTGTTTTTAGAAAAGTATAGTACATAGAAAAGAATTAAAACATGACTTTGTCTACTTAAAATTTTAAAAATATTAGTTATATGCATAGGTATACCTAACCAGTACTTATATTTTAGGTAGTACCTGTACAAACTGTTTTTTTCAAATATTTTCTATATATTCAAAATTGATGTGATAAAAAACTGATATTATTTTGATACTATCTTTTGAACTACATCAAAATGGACATGTCACGAATCAATCAGCATCAGCAAGATAAACAAAAACAATGTTTATCATTGTTTATTCAAATCAAAGATATCGGGATATAACATTAGAATATGAATTCGAATGACATGGCGAAAACTCATTGTGTATATATGTACTGGTATAGAACATATACGAGTGAGTTGGCACTTATGTTAATGTGTACTTACCCGCATCCTAGCTTTGCCCTTGGCGGTACCAATATAGATAGGCGTAAGTCTGTAAGCCGATCGGTGTCATGACAAAGAGTAGGTGATGAGGAAACGTCAGACGCTAACGATGCTCGTTCTGATACAAACTGCCAAGAAAGAGCCTCGTGGGCTTTCCTGAATGATACAAAAATAATTATTCCACTGAGATTTATGTATGCGAAAAAATAATTATTAAATTCTAGAGTTAGTTATAATTAAAGTATGTAATATAAATATAATTTACTTCCAGGAAGAACTGTCAATAAAGTGTTTTTATTTAGGACTTTCAGAAATCGAAACGGTAACGCTTGAATGGGCCAATTTCATTATAGAAGCACTATCTGACTTTGTAGAAATGTATATCTTCTGATCGCTATTTTTGGATTCTTTTATTTGAATCCATTGTAGCCAGTTATTACTTAGTTACATATACATAATAATAAAAATGTAACTGATCTTCTATATACATGGAAAAAGTGTTTATTTTTTTTATCTATCTTCTGATAAAAAAATTATTAATAAATAAAATTACTACAAATCTTGTAAATAATTGAATTCGATATTGAACTTACTCTTTCATGGGAAGCATTCCAACATCTGAAACAAATAGGATGTTGTGTAAAAATCCTTAAAAATATTCAATCGTTGAAAACATTACAATAATTAAAAAAAGATACAATATCAGTACTGAACACTAATTAATGGTTTTTTTACAATAATGGCCTATTATTGTACTTATTAAATTAAAAAATAATTATATATTACAAATATAAACTTGAGAACGACAGAGTATATTAAAATTGATATTATGAATGATTTCAATTAATGTATTTCGAATGAATGTTAGATTAAAAAAGTTGACTATTAGAAAATAAAACATTTTATTTTATTTCACAAAAAAATATTTCTATTCCATTCTATAATTCTTATAAACAGACAATAACACCTACTTAATTTTAAATAATAGGCAAGTCTGTATGTTACCTGTAACATACACAGGAATAAAATCAAAGTTCTCTGTAATTACATTAGTGCTTATTTTTAAATATTTATACTCGCAGACAAATGACTTTGAATTAGGTTAAAGACTCGCTTTCACGGTTATCGCAAGTAATGGCAAACACATTGCCGACAATAACACTGCCTTCATAATGGCGTAACTTCAGTAACTTTTGATTAATTAGCATAATGACATTCGTTGCCACATTGTTACAGAGAGAGACACCTACGTAAGAATGAGAGTTGGCACTGTAATTGTTATGTAATTCTGCCTCTCATTATTCTATTGCATTACAACCACACGACAATAAATCTGTTTTAGATAAAAATGGTTGACTCGCTTCATTAATAGGGAGCTATTAAGAAAAATCAAGTACTATTCTAAGTAAAGGTAAAAAGTCATCTGCTTGGGTACCTCTGTGTCACCTATTTCAACCGCCAACCAGCTTACTTTGTATTTGTAAGTTGCATTTCGGTTGAAAGCAGTGAAATCACGGGATAAGAGGCATAACATCTAGTACTCCAGAACGGCAACGCATGACTCGTGATCTCCCTCATGATGGTTACCACTCACCATCAGGTGGGCGTCTGCTCATTTAATATTTCATTTACATAAAATAACAAGTGTATAGTTAATTATACGTAATAAATGTAATTATTTTTAGTAATTAATTAAATACGTATGTACTGAATCATAATTATGTATGGCGCATTCGTTTCTGTCTACATTACTAAAAATAGAGAAATTATTTTTAAACCACTCGCAATTTACTCACCCTCAAAATTCTAAAATACACGTACATGTATGCATAGATAGATATAAAAAAAATTGTGGCATAGATAGCATATATATATGATATCTATGCCACAAATTTTGATAATAATTTAATAGTCCAACCGGTGTTGCGCTATATTTATATCTTGAGGAGACCTCCGTGTATAACGTGAGCACTAAGTCTGATCAGTTAGTCCATTGTGACAAATTTAAAAGGAATTAGCCACGTTTATTTCGAACTTATGTGCAATTACATTACACATTATTAGCAAATGTAGGTCACTATTCTCTTTTACTAAAAATTCCTTTCTTCCAGTTTAATGTAACTTATCTCATAGAAGGGCCAATAGATACAGTTTTAATTTTTTAAATATTATATTTTAATGTACATGTGGATTACAGTGCTCATACTATCTCTGTAGATGCCACACACCCCGGCGAAGATACACTCACAAAAAAACAACAGGAGCGCTCTCTATACTATTAGGCACATTGATTGAAGTAGAAAAAGTATAATCCATCACATTTAAAATAAGTATTGTTGCTAAGTAACAGTTTGTATGTAACGTGCAACTGCAATCGGAACGAAATAAATTATATTTACAACTGTATACGTAATCCACTGAATATCTCTATCAGGTTATGGACTAGCACTAAAGTGAATATAATTTAGTGAATTCTAGAATATAGTGGTGAAAACAAATCAAAATTCTGAAAATGGCAGATGACGATACGTCGAGTCATGGAATGTACGGTATCATGAAACTCAAGGGTGCTTCGGACTTTCCCAACTGGAAATTTCAAGTACGTAATTATCTTGAAAATAAGGATTTATGGAAGATAATAGAGTTGGAACACTTTGATGACAAATTCAAAGATGACGACCGTAAAGCCCGTACTACGATTTGTTTATTATTAGATTCCTCATGTTTTACTTATGTATATAATGCGAAGACTGTTAGAGAAGTATGGTTGAGACTCTGCAGAGCATTTGAGGATAAAGGTTGGGGAAGACGCATCACGTTACAGCGACAGCTTTGGCAATGCAAACTTGAAAATTTCGACTCTATGAATAAGTATATATCGCAAATAATATACTTATCGCAGCAGTTAGCTGATATTGATGCAGAAATATCAGATGATTGGATTATTTCCATCATGTTAAGTGGTTTGACTGCGGAATATAACCCGCTCATAATGGCTGTGGATAATTGTGGCAAAACAATTACTCTTGAGCAAATAAAAACCAAACTGCTACAGGAATCGAATAGACAGTCGGAAGGAAACTCAAGTGAAGTACAAGCTCTATCTGTAAATAAAGCACGAAAATCTGCGGGATCATATAAAAAACCAACCGATCGTAAGCAGATGACTTTTAAGTGTTTCAAGTGTCACAAACCAGGACACAAGGCATCAGAATGCAAAGAGACAAAGCAATATACTAAGAATGTCTCTGGGTTAGTTTGTCTGAACATGGGAGAAACTAATTCGAAAAATTGGTATCTGGACAGTGGCTGTTCTAATCATATGACGCACGATAAAAATAAGATATCGAATTACAAAAGTCAAAAAAGTGACTTAAAAGTGAAAGTAGCGAATGGTCAAGAATTACCAGTACAGGGAAAAGGAAATGTCGAACTATATACAAATGAAACATCTAAATTGAATTTAGAAGATGTTTTACACGTTCCCGATTTGTCCATGAACTTAGTCTCGGCAAGCAAACTCATAAAAAATAATTTTGAAATTAATTTAAACCAAGAAGGTTGCAGCATTAAGAAAGAAAATAAAATTATTGCGGTTTGTCAAGAAGTTGGCGGAATATATGAAATAAAAGAAAAACCGATAGTCAACTTGACATTGTCAAATAAATTAATTTCAAATCTTTGGCATAAACGTTTGGCTCACCTAAGTAGAAAAAATATGTACAAATTGAATGGATTAGTAACTGGTATGAATTTAAAATCGACAAATTTAAGTGAACCATGTGTACCTTGTATTAATGGAAAGTCATGCAAAAGTCCCTTTAAAAATCAAGGTATGAGAGCTACGGATATCTTGGAAATAGTGCACACTGATCTCTGTGGCCCAATTGAAACAAATTCTCTAAGCGGATGCAGGTACATGTTATTATTTATTGACGATTTTTCAAGAAAGACACATGTATATTTTTTGAGAAATAAAAATCAAACATTTGCTAAATTTCGCGAATACAAGGCAGAAGTAGAGAAACAAACAAACAAATCTATTAAATGTCTAAGATCTGACAATGGTTCAGAGTATTGTAATCGTGTTTTTGACAAATTTTTGAAGTCCTCAGGTATACAACATCAGACCACCGTACCATATACACCTGAACAAAATGGTGTAGCTGAAAGAGCAAACAGATCCATCATGGAGAAGGTGAGAACATTGCTTTATGAAGCAAATCTCAGTAAGAAATTTTGGGCAGAGGCAGTGAACACCGTAACATATTTAAAGAACAGAAGTCCTACAAAAGCTATTACCAATGCTGTACCAGAGGAACTATGGACAGGAAGAAAAATTGATGTAAGTCATTTAAAAGTTTTTGGTTGTTTGGCTTACGCTCTAAAACCCAAACAAAAGAGACAAAAACTTGATACAAAGACGGAAGCTTTGATCTTTGTTGGTTATTCCACAACAACAAAAGGATACCGACTAATCGATCCAAAGACAGGCAATGTAAAAATTGCGAGAGACGTCAAATTTTTAGAAAATATTTTTCCTGGCGATAACGTTTCTGATGAAATGAAAAGCACAGTGGTTCCTATAAATTTGGAGGAGGTTCAAAAAGAATCTGTGACAAGAACATGCCCTGAACGGAACATAAATCATGACATTAACTCTTTAGAAGCTGATTCAAGCACACTTAATGAACCTATCAACAGTGAGATTTTGGAGAGTTCAGAAGTTGAAATCGAAGCTGATCCTGTGGAACCCGAGAGGAGATACCCTCTTCGAGAACGTAGACCTGTAAATTATTACCATTGTAATGCTATTGCAGAAATTGATGGCGATCCATTAACAATAAAGCAAGCATTAGCGAGATCTGATCGTGATTTATGGCAGAAAGCAATTGATGATGAATTGCGATCACTAGAAGAAAATCAGACGTGGAAGCTAGTAGACCTTCCACCTGATAAGAAGGCTATTCAATGCAAATGGGTATTCAAAATCAAGAGAGATAGTGATGGTAAAATAAGTAAATATAAGGCTAGATTAGTTGTCAAGGGCTACACACAGGTACGTGGCATAGATTATAATGAAACCTATTCACCAGTAGTAAGAAGTTCAACTTTAAGGTTACTATTCTCATTAGCTGCTGAATACGATTGGTTTATTGATCAATGGGACGTTACTACTGCATTTCTATATGGGAAATTAAAAGAAAATATTTACATGCATCAGCCCGAGGGGGCGTTTGTTAAAGGTCAAGAATCAAAAGTATGTAAGTTGCAAAGATCACTTTATGGTCTGAAACAAGCTTCGAATGCTTGGTTTAATGAGTTAGATAGGGAAATGTTGAATTTAGGTTTCGAACAATCTAAAATAGAGCCATGTTTATATCAAAAACTGTTAGATGGTGATAAAAAGTTAATTGTTGTAATTTATGTGGACGATATTTTTGTTTTTGGTAATTGTGAAAACGAAAAACAGAAACTGAAAGAGGGGCTACTGAATAAATTTAAAATTAAAGATTTAGGTCCTGCTAGGCATATTTTAGGTATGCGGCTGAGGAGAGAAAATGGTGTCTTATATCTCAATCAAGAACAATATATAACAAATGTCTTGAACGACTTCGGGATGACTGACTGTAAACCAGTTAAAACCCCAATGGAGCTAGGTCTTAAATTAGAAAAAGCATCAAATTCGGAATGCGACTTGCCATATCAAAATTTAATAGGATGTCTTAATTATTTAGCTGTAAATACTAGACCAGACATAGCACATGTTGTTAGTTTATTATCTCAATTTAATTCCTGTTATAATGAATTACATTTCAATTGTGCTAAACGTGTTTTACGCTATTTAAAGGGGACATTGAATCATTGTCTTTCTTTTAGAAAATCGAAAAATGTTAATTTTTATGGCTATGCAGATGCGGATTGGGGTGGGTCTTATGACAGAAAATCTTTTACAGGTTTTATTTTCAAATTAGGCACAAATATTATATCGTGGGAAAGCCGAAAACAACAATGCGTATCACTCTCCTCAACCGAAGCAGAATACGTAGCTCTGTGTCAAGCCTCAAAGGAGGCTGTATATTTAAATAATATACTTAACAGTTTACTTAAGAGAAGTAGTAAGCCAGTTTTGATTTATAATGATAATCAATCTGCGCATAAAATAGCTGCAAATAAAATGAATCACAATAGGACTAAGCACATAGATATAAAATATCATTTCGTTAGAGAGGCAGTGGCTAATAATAGCATTATAATTAAATACTTACCGACCCAAAATGATAGCAGATATCTTGACGAAATGTGTATCAGGTCCGAAGTTAAAGGTAGTTGTGACTCAAATATTACAAAATTATTCTGTTAAGGGGGCGGTATAGGCCCAACAGTAATTATTAGTATTTTAACAGATTTAATTTTGGATATGTTTTTTGTTACTACTGTTCTATTGTTTACTCTTCTGTATATTGTTTTATATTATGTATGTTATTTAAATGTAGAGATGTAGAATGTCTTAAATGTAATGGATTAAGGGACCGTATTAGGCACATTGATTGAAGTAGAAAAAGTATCCATCACATTTAAAATAAGTATTGTTGCTAAGTAACAGTTTGTATGTAACGTGCAACTGCAATCGGAACGAAATAAATTATATTTACAACTGTATACGTAATCCACTGAATATCTCTATCATATACTAGTTATAAAAATAAACAATAGTTATTCTATAACTATATATAGCATTTTTGTTGTTAATTTAGTAGACGTTTCACAATACATCTATAGATGTAAAAAAAATAACAGCGCGTTATACTGTACTTACGTCTAACTTTGATCTTGAGCCGAGATTGTGATGCGAGATAATGCACCAGTTCGCCGTGCACCGCATCGTCCACGCGGTAACCATTCACGCTCACCAGCTGGTCACCGACCTGCAAAATACGTAACAGAATTTTTAATTGAGTTTAAAAGAAATACCTACTTGTCGGGAATACATTTCTTTTTCATATGTTATTTATTATTACCTTATTACATCAGCTACCTGCCACAATAGGTCTAGCCATTTCTGAGATTAGCCGGAACAAACAGATAGACAAAAATTGTAAAAAATGTTATTTTGGTGTATATACCGTATTTATATTCATATGCATGTAGTAAAAACAACGGTTATTTCAAGATTACAAACAGACACTCCAATTTTATTTATATGTATAGATTATTATCAGTCATCATAATATAATAATTTAGTCAATATTTAAAAATAATTCGAAATTAGAAGCATTGAACTCCTTTGATGAATTAGTGCTAGTTGGTAGTTTGTATTCACACATTTCATTTTCTCGTTATTCTTGTGATGAGACAGTTTTCCAAATGAGTGGTAGATTAAATAAAAAAAAATGTTGATTGTTCAAAAGTGCCTCAATGTAAGTTTATTTGAATAACTGTTTTTATATCCAAACGTATTTTATCCTAATTTTGAAGTTGAATCATCGAAGTGATGTCCTGATGTAGGAACCAAGATGGGCTAAGTCATTCTCTTTTTTTATTCGTCTTTAGTGCTCACTGTATACCATAAATACTGGTGAACTGGTAATCCAGCCTGCAGAATACATATATAATTAAAAAATATAATCACAAAAAAAGTAAAAGGTCAAATGATATTAATATTTATAATATTAATTTCCGCCATTTAAAGGTAAAGGAATGGATCATAAGTAGCATTTAATAGAATAATTTTATTTTACTATTCTCCACACTTTCTGACTACCAAATTTATTTATAGTGCAAATGAACTCTTAGAGCATTAATACTTAATATACAACGCAGTAGGTAATAGTAAAAATAGGTAGTAGGTAGTAATAAAAATTTTAGGAAATTGGTAAATAATTATAATTTTTGATACTTGTACAAAGCTAACCGACGTAGTTATCAACGTAACGTAATAGTAAAAATAAAACAATAAATTAAAATTAATTGAATTGACGTCTTACATAAATATGTAAGACGTCAATAAATTTTAATTTCCTCATGAAATTCAATAAACATTGTGGGACCGATGGCAACTCTATCAAAATTAAAAAAAACATGCAAATAAGTTCAGAATTGAGGAAGATATTGCTTAGTGAACTACTGAAGAAGATTATAAAATCCTTAGATAAAAAAAATACGTATATTTCTAGAGTAAGTGGAACTAATAATGTACAGTAAAGATATTCTGTTGATGTTGCATCATAGTGCTACACCGCTCCCTCCCTCCTGTCTCTGGCGCAATAGCTCACCACAAATACCATAAGGCCTTCTGCTACATGGGAGTTATTATTCATTGTGAGCATCTTTCATAGTAATCCAATCGTTATCTTTAAGGTTATCATTAATCGCAATTGTTCAATTTTTATTAAGGCCATTATACTAAGTTCATAAGGATAGCACTTATATATACCTACATATGTATGTATCTATCTATTGACAGAATGTACTTGTTTAATCTGTTTTAGTTAAACCTAAGTAAATCATTTCTTAAGATATAGTGATTTGCATATACGTATAAAATAATACAATCTTTACAATTAAATTAAGATATTACTTCATCTATTAATTATAATTAACTCTGTAATTATATAGTACAATATTTCAAAGTTAAATCAAATTAAATATTAACCTATTATCCCTTATACAATATCCTAAATATGTATTTAACTGACAGAGAATGTTAAAATAAATTTAACACAAACTACATTCTAAATTGTATACCTAATGCTGATTAGGTACTACAGTGTGCAAATTATAAAATTCATTATCAGATTTGACTAATATCAAAAAGGATCTGAGGCCAGAGAGCCTGTTTTTGCGACAAGGTAATTTATAAATTTAGATTATTTTAGAAATTTAAAAGCCATGCTCTATGGTTTATAAATAGGCATTTACAGATACATTATAACCCTATCAAAATTTGTTGGAAACCCTGGCCTACTTTCATTAGTTGTCCGCTACTGGCAATTTGAGGTTTACTTTAAAGGAATCCACCCACAAATAGGTAGGTACAATTAAGTAATATTATTTCTATAGATCTCTCTGTTTCACTCCAATAACCACGTTTTACGAAACTATAGATAGGTACTTGAAATTTATGGTGGTTAACGTACATGATTGTATAAACAATCGATAGATAGATATCGAAATGAGTAATAGCATAACTATGACATCACGACTACGTACTAGTAGGTACATCATATGCATGCATAATGTAGTGACGAAGGCATTTACTTTCTTTACGTCTGTTTCGGTTCCAGTGGCTTGGACCACAGAGAAGCCGGACAGCGTTGCCTCGTGCCCCACATACCTAGCGAGCAACTTTCGATCTGACTTTCGTTCCAAGTTGTCTTTTTACGAGTATTGGAGAATGCCAGACTCCAAGACGCCCAGACGAACCCTACAAGACATTCGGTTTCGAAGAAATATCTGTACCTATGACACCTCAAAATAAATACCTTAATCAAATGCGTATGTTAAATGCTCATTTTTAAAATTACGAAACAGTGTTTATATGTATGTAAAATCAAATGAAGCCTAGTTCCCAGCTAAGTTTGATCTTGGAGCTCAAAGATATAAGTAAGTAAAATAATTATTATTTCTTAGAAAGGTCTAATTGGATAAAGAAGCAGCTATGCAGAGAATAAATAAATCTATTATTCAGGTTAAGATCAGGTGTCTAAAAAAAATATTGTAGATTATTATCATGTAGGTACTAAAAGTATAGTTAGAAATGTTAACAATATATTGGCTCTATAGATTAGTACGATAATATTGTACTATAACGACAATAAAATAGGTAAATATAATGCGAGATCATAACCCGCTCTATTTCCGGTTATAGCTACATGTTTATAATGGGGTCGATCACCTCGGAAAATTACTCTAATTAATTATGAAATAAATAAATCCACAATAATAAATCGTAAAAAGAAATAATTTTAGTATAAAATAAATGTACCGTACTCATAAGATAGTATAGACAAGTGTTGAAAAAGTTCCTAACTTTTAATAAAAAATTGTCCTCAACTGGATAAATTAGTTTTGAGAAAAGAAATAAAATCCGACAAGTGTTTTACCTCATTACTATAAAATAGTTGATGAAGTTTCTCGAACATTTTATTTCAAGAACATGAAAATTTATAATTGAGCAGGTAGAGAGTATAAACTTTTATATAACTTCTTTGCTATGATTTTGCAAACCATACAATATTTTAATTTATCTTAAAAAAATAATAGTACAGCTTCTCTTTCAGCGAGCTTAGTATGTGTACTTACGTCACTATCAATACCATCAATAAGACTCGCAATAAATAAAAGTTTAATCGTAAAACACATAGGTATCGACTTCTACATATCATTGAATTGCAAGTGAATTTGTTATTAATAAAAGCGTATAGGTATTGTCTACAATACAATTCGGTAACAGTTGAGTATACATTGAGCCGTATGTATACATATTTGATAGAGAATGACTCACTGTAACTCCATTATTTTTTCATTGCTCTTTTGTTATCACTCTATGAAAGATTGTTGTAACTACGAAATACACAAAGAAAAGTTGTACAATAAGAAAAAAATTAATTACTTTTGATGTAGTCTGCAACAATTCAAGGTATCAGGTTCGGATTATCAGTGAGTGAATACAGTGAATACAGGTTTAATATCTCATAATTCAGGTGTAATATGTAAGGGTACTTCATACCTACATATAAAAAATTACCTAATTGTTTTGGCTTGGATTTACGAATTTTTTACGGTTATTTGTTTCTATTTTGTTTCATGTATTTTTTATATGGTAAACGTCCCTCTACTTTCTCTCAATAGGATCAACATTAATTTGATATGTTACCACTTACCATATATTTTGTATTACAATTTAAATATCTTGTGATGACACACATTGAACACACTTAATTTAAAATTTTACAACTCTCGCATTCTGAATAATCTACTATTTTATATGAGAGATAACGTGCTATTTTTTATTGATTATTTTTCTTTAATAGTGTGGTTTGGTAAGGTTAGTTAGTTTAGTGTAAATTCATACACTGATTTTCTTCTATCAGATCACTTTAAATTCTTGAAATAGGTATGTAGATATTTAGTAAACTACATAGTTATAATATAGCATTATAACTTCATACCAATATTATAAATGCAATAATATATAACATAAAGTAACTAATATTCTATCACGAGGGTGCATATTGGCTATCTTTTATTTTAAATAAGCACTTCAGGTACTCAGTAAAGTCTCGGATTCAAAGTCACCGGTTACATCTATTATAGAACTAGTTCAATTCATTGGTATTTTTTTGCATTTAACATATATTGTTATCTATTGTAATCCAGACGGTTCTCTGTCATCTTTCAATCATGTAGGCCTGATTCTACTCTGCAGCAAATCACAATTCATATAGGGCTATGGCTTTAGCCCTATCATGGTTGGTACAAACAACGTTGCCTGGCGACTAAAACTAGAGTGAATATATTAAACAATTTCTATTTTATCAAATGTTACACAAGACGCAATATTTCAAATAAACACACGTGAGCGGAGAGCTGTAGAAAGTCGTCAATCGGCCAGAATGCTGTGACTCACAACTCACCGGACACATACGAGTCCGCCCTGTAAACACACTGTCTTGTCGTAATTATAGACATAATTACGATACTTTTACAATACCTTGGTAAAACGAAGCAATTATATACCAGCTTAGAATATATTCAACTTAAGTATATATGTTTAGGTGTTTATTACATGTATGTTTACTAATACTACTAATCTATCATTAAAGTTTCACTTCCAATTACTATTAACGTTGTACTCACTTAGGAGTATTTGTAGCAAGTTTTTGAGTAGAGTTTGATATTTTGGTAACTACTTTTTTAAGTTCTTACGATTTATCGTCGAAGTCGTTGAGTTGTTGCCGGCACCTGTCGAAATCACGACAAACAATGGTGTCCGCTCTCCGTAACTGGCCAGCATACTTGCTGCGGCGAGTTTTGCTGACTCAGTCAATGATTCTAAGAATTATATATATCCGCTATGTCGTTGACATTAAATACAGTTAAAATTTACAGTTTTTAAATTTCCCAGGATTCACTACAATAGATTCAAATCTCCATTGTATTTACTCTATAAATAACGACGGATGTGTACGAAAATTTTCGTAACTTCTTTGTTAAGGAAGTAATTGTGCGAAAATCTGTTCTGTGTGCTTCTACAATGTAATATGGCCCTACATGTGATTTTATCTTAAAATATATTCAGTTATAATGAGGGGTATATAATAACGCAAAATGTTTTAAGTCTGTATAAGCATGACTAGACAAAAAAAATAGAATCTTATTAGAATAGGTGTATTCTACAATTGTACCATACTTCTTAAGTACTCGTACTAGCTTGCGTATGTTTTCTCGACATATAATCTAACTTAATGCCAATTTTCATTAAAATCCGTTTAGCCCATTAATTGTGAAGAAGCAATAAACATACAGACGCGCACTATTGTATTTATTAATTTAGTATGTATAACTAGAAATTATCATTTTTTCCAAAATAAGTGTAATTTGTATTAACTGTGGGCAATGTAAATTGTTAATAATTGAGATTTCCTGGAAACCAAAGATTGTATGTAATTGTAAATAATTAATAAATAAAAAAAACGTTATAAACTATAATTATCTGTGGTAATATTGTAGGTACTTTAAAACTTTAGCTGATGGCGGGAAGTTGCTGATTCGTAACTGTCAGCACGTAATAGGTAATAATGTATTTGACCTAGTTGATTTAAGCAACAATGTGATCAACATCAGCGCCACTTGAAACTTGAATGTGATTGAAATTAAAGCGAAGGAAACCATACAGTTACGTAAGTTGTCTAACACATCTTGCGACAATATTCAGTCTCGGATGTAGACGATTGTATTTAAGCAACAAACAGGCCAGTAAGTTAATTGTTACTTGACAAAGAGACGTAGGAATAATTGTTCGCACGCGCTCAACAACGGTGTATGTAAGTAAGACGTAACGTCAATTAAATAGATACACAAACAGCAATTCCCTTATAATCAGATAAAAGGACGTATAATGGTATAAAAAGAAACAAAACAATGTAATAATGCTACTTCTCCAATGAGAGTGTAAAAAGAACGAGAATTCTTATGACTATTTATGTAGACATACCTATTTTTTAGCTGCGTACTTAATCGACTCAACATTGTCTTTTAATTCGTACCTGTGTCGTAACAAAATATACCTACTCATATAATCTTCAACGCAAGGAATACAAAAGTAAATCCATTTACTCAAAGTTCAGATAAAAGAATATTACACATCCGCGGAAATGACTTAATCATATTTAAACAAATTAAAATAAATGTGTAGATGTTACTTTATTTTAAACATATTTTAAAAGTGTTTGACATGCTATTAGCGAAGGTACAAATTGATTTAAAATACAAATTTTTACCAACGCGGTCCATACCAATATTTCCCTGATTGTATGAAATATTTACTCCTAAAATAATGAACTTCGTACTTCACACGATTTAAAAGTACACGTTTTACCAGACCGTAATGCTTCTCTTTGTTAGCTTGGTCATTTCTAAGGCTTCATTGCCCTTTTCACTTTATTTGCTGTTATTCATTTCAGTTCAAAGGCTATTTAGTACAAACATATCTATTATAGTATAAAATTATCCGGTAATCATTCGTAACTCTTGTTGCATGAATATAATATATATCGACATTTTAAAGAAATACTCGCTGTAGTAGACTAGAAATAATCATTATTCAAGTAAACTTAATACAACTTACTACTTTTAAATACTTAGTCATATTTTTTTATTCAACCACTCATTCGGAACGTACATCCATCATAAGAAATTCAAAATCTACCTACACTTTGTACAATTAGATAATTATGTAACTTTTACAATAAGAAAATATGAAAGTAACCACACTGCATTTCACGATATAAAAAATGTGGAGATTCTAATCCATCATATTTTCCAATTGAGAAGCGATTTTCGTTTGTAATTCTTTATTTTCTGAATGTCAATAGTAAAAATTGTTTAAATGATATCTTCTATCAATCGATAACCTAGTTATTATTAAGGAATTAATATGATTTAGTAACGAACCTTCAATCCTTGTAGATGTGCTTCTGAATTGAATTCAACCTTCGAAATGAAGAAACCCGATGAATATTCTCGTCCTCCTCGCAGTGAGAAGCCAAATGCCGGTGCAGCCCGGCGAGGGCGTAGTAACCGCACTACACGAATGCGGCGCTCTGCTGAAGGCAGACACGCAGCACGCCCTGAGCCTGAGGTTGTTGATGCTGTCGACGTTGCGTACATCGTAACACTGAAATTAAATTATATTAAAACAATAGTAATTAAAATAAAAAATTATACGAGCTTTAAATAATTTGCTTCGCGACTTTGATGGGCGCCAAATAAAGACTGGGGGACTGCCGATATGAACTCTAGCAGTAAATAGAAATCACTACTGAGGTTATGGGTATTGTAAATTTCGTCATCATTTACTAGTCTCAATAAAATGTATTATATTATTATGAAATGTATTTATAATTAACTAGCTGCACAGCTTCTTCTGTGTCACATTTTACTCGGTTTGTAACATTTATATTGAAGATGTGTTTAGTATATATAGTCTATATTCTTCCTAAATAAATGAGCCATCAACAATAAATTTTCAAAATCGGATTGAAGAGTAGTATGGAAGGTTACTCCGAATATTCAAACTCGCAAAGTTTACCATTTTATAATATTGCCTAGTTAAGAAGCTATATTATCTATAAATATAAATAAAGTCTGTTTGTAATATTGAAATAACCGTTTTACTACATTCATATGAATATAAATACGGTACATACACCAAAATAACATTTTTTACTATTTTTGTCTGTCTATCTGTTCCGGCTAATCTCTGAAATGGCTGGACCGATTTTGACGGGAGTTTTTAGGTAGCTGATGTAATAAGGAGTAACTTACGCTACTTTTATTTTAGAAAAAATATTTTATTTAAAAAAAATAATGTTAAATTCCACGCGGACTAAACACGGGAACAGCTAGTACATTATAAAAACGTTGGTTTGTTTAAGATTCAACTCACAATTTAGGGCGCGACATAATAACAAACGATCACTGTAAGAATTCCCCTTGACATTAACACATCATAAGTCAGTCGTGTCAATTCCACTGTGGTTCTAGTAAGGTCACAACCACAATTATAAACGCAGGCTTTGGACTATCAAAAGTGGCCGTATAGGCACTGTTGAACTCTAAGATTTTTATCATTGAATCTATTATTTACTATTAACTAGCTAACTAAACCGTCCCGACTTCGCAGGAGTATTGTATATTGTATAATATAGTATTGAAGCGAAATTGTTTTATACAGTGAAAAGATATCTCCTCTTTTAAAAAAAATCTTTGAAAACTATTTGTAAACAACATTTTTTTGGTTATTGTTCTGAATCGGAACATCGTTTATTACTTCTCTGTACTATTTGTAGCAATTTTAATGTGTTAAATAAACTTATGAGGCATACCTATTTAATTTTTACTGTTACTTATATATATTTTATAAATAAATCATAACTATAAATATACGTATCTTGAAAGAATCAAACCTCCTAGCACCAAAAGTAAGTGCGCTTAACCACCGAGGATGTTAAATAAAATATTAATTCCTTAATTTCACAGATTTATCTTCATATCGAAATCATTGTGGTTTGTATGCACTAGTATAGGTACTAGTATTTGTAAGCAGTGTAGTTTTGATTTCGTTGGAAACAAATAAATGCAAAAGACACGAGGTCGCGGGTCGAGGGACGAGAGCTAGAGTGCAGCCTCCTCAAGACGATGGTGCAACGACCCCTGTGCGCCTGCGCAGCTTCGCAACAGCAATACTTAAAGCCTGGCATTCACGATGCATCCATACGGACGGACGTCTTTCATCCAAGATCACAACATATAAGTCATTTCCAAGATTACAACAAATTGTTAATTATGCTAAAAAGATAATTTTTATCAGGTAGGATTACTCAAAGTTCCTAGACACCTGTGAAAGCCCTCCCGCGACTATATACAACATTATTGTTGCGCTTCGTTGGGATACTTTAGAATATTTAGTGAGTAGGAGTTTTTAGTGTTACAATACCCGTTCGCCTTCAGGCAAACGTTATTTCCTCCAAGTAAAAAATAAGTTACTCGAAGTTGGTGCACTTGACCGGAAATTACGATAATCCGAATGCATTTCTCTCTATTTAAATATTTTTATATTAAATAAAAATTGTACAATCTAAGTCTCGATATATCAGTATCATTGGTTATCGATCAGCTTAGTGATCTACTTAGAGAACTATTTAGATGTATCGTCAATCCTTAACGTCAATTTGAATTTCTTGATACTCTTTACATTGTTGAAGCGAGATTTACAATGTACTCTACATTGTGACACGAGTGATTGTTATATACCTGTGACTTCTGCATTATTTATGTACCTAATATAAAAATCGTTTTTAGACAGAATATTAGTAAATATCATAAATGCAAAAGTTACGGTAGCTATGTTTTCTTATTCTTTGTATTTCATTTATTGATATTCTATATAATAATATGTATAAATAAAATTGTTAGAATTTGAAAGTGGCGATATGTAACAACAGATACCTACTCTATCTTTTGTATGTATGTACAATTTGTTAAAAAATCTTTAATTATTTACCATCTGATTTAGTTGGTAAATAATTTTATGTAACTAATAATAATAATCTCAGGACAATTCGCACAGCGCCATCTAGACCCAAGTGAAGCTAGCTAAAGCTTGTGTTATGAGTACTAGATAACTGATACAAATACATAGATTTTTTTTCGTAAATACATACATAATATACATAGAAAACACCCAAACCGATACAAAGAACCATACTCATGAATACAAATGTTTGTGCCGTGCGAGGAATCAAACCCGCGACCATCGGAAGTACAGCGGTTTGCTAGACCGCTAGACCACCGAAGTCGTCAGTAACTATATAGATATGTATTAAATATTTATATCATGCGAAAATCTAACCCATAACCAGTATGTTAAACAGATGCCATGATATTTAATTTTATTTATTTGAAAAAATAATGACTCCTTATATTTCAACAAAAGAATAATCGACTGCACGGCTACCTCTTTCTCACCCATTATTAGCCATATATAGCCGCAAATTATTATAGTACCAATTGCAATATAACAGAGAAATTATAGGGTACAGAAGTATAACATCTCAGTCCTCCGGTATAAGATACTAAGGGCTTTACATAATAACGTGAGAGCCGTGGCGCTCCTCATTTATATACGCTACGGTTCCCACTTACCACCTACTAGATGAACAGCTTGTTAGTTATTCAAAGTGCATAATAAACAAACTAATATTACATTTTTCTGTGTTGTTTACTAAAGTACTATGACCACTTTCTAGCCCCATCATAAGGTGAGCTCAATGTCGCAATAATATTGCAATGTCATCCAAATTACTGCATCATCTCCGCCTAATGCTTAAAAATGTGCACTTTATAAGTTAAGAACCGGAAAGAAAAACGTAATGATCTATAAATAAGCTCATATTAATAATATGCTTTAATTTGTACTCATAGATTTATTGCCTCCTAATATGTAGATACCTAGTTCTATTACATGTATGTAACTATTATGTATACTTTATAATTTCAAATGTTCACAAGTGGTGTCGTGTCCTACAATGTTGGTTTTTCTACATTATAATTGTACACCTTTTTAAAATTAGAGAAGGCTCCTCAAATAAACTTATTATATATTAACAATGTAATGAAAGTGAAAGTTTCTATTAGAGACGAACGTACCTACTACTCGTATTATCTACCACAAAATATTTTATACGTAGTTACAGCATACGGAACTTGGTTGCAGCGACTATAAATTTATACATTCGAATAATTTGATTATTGTTAACTTGTCATTCAGACATCACTGTGTTGTCATTGAATAAACTCAACTATTTTGCAAGATTTCATTAATTTATTCATAGTTTTGTCGCTTAATAAATATATTGATCAAGTCTATATATATATGTATATATTACACATGTTCTGAAGCAATGAATTAGCTAAAAACTCTATCTATTGCTACAGAACTCGTCGTTACTGAATCTATTTTTAATTGTCCGACCATTTTCTTCAACTTTCTATTTAATCTTATGAAAGTAAACTGTATAATTATTAGGGTGTATGTTTGTTCTATTAGCGTCAGGAAAAATATACGTTAATTGCGACTATGTACCTGCTTATTATAAACCACAGGGTCCACAACCAACTTACTCTCACAACATCCGCACAACACAACAAAATGGTATAATGAACAGGCATTATGACATATTTAAGTGCAAAATCGACCATAATTACTATATGTTTTATGTTTACATACCTATTACTTACCTTCCTTTAACAACCTACATTTTCCAAACAGGCGAGTAAGCCGTCTATTCTGTTATATATGCTACTTATACGCTTACGCTTATATGTTGTTGTTTATTAATTTGAAATCGTCAAATAAAGCTTACGTGCATGCAAAAAAGCATAACAATATTTACAGAAAAAGTGCTCTAGTAGTAATAGATAAATTATGTAACGCTAACTAACATTGTGAAGCACCCATTTTTATGGTTAGTAAAATATAATTTTTGATAGCAGATGTTAAATTGCAATTGATTGTATAGCACATACACATATGTTTATTTTTTATATAACCAAAGACTCAGATCAAAATGTATATGTATTGAGAGCAATAATCAAACCCGCAACCTTCGGACATAAGAACCGTTAGACTACCATACCATTCTTCTCGGACGGATGGATGGATCTTGGCTGATCCTAATAATGTGGGCCTAATCTAAAGGTCCTGTTCACTTACGATAATATCCAAAACGGCCAGTGCCGACGATACCGTTCCATTGACGCATTGGTTACTACGCCCTGTCCTCTTTGTAAATATGACTATCAAACGACGTAGTTGGCACGGGCAGTCCGGACTGAACATAATAATGTGAACCCAGGTTAAGTGCTATGCGGGCGCCGGGCGCCGCAGGTGGCGATTTGACGGGGGCGCTCGACCGTGAATCCCCCGCCGCCGCACTCCACAAATGTTCCTCGTTTTTCTAACAGTCTAGTTGAGAGCAATGGCCTTGTATAAGTTGCGGACCAAAATTACTAAAACACCTTCTTTTACAGAATAGCTTTAACCCTAAAGGTTAGAAAACATTTAAAAACCTGTTTTACTATTCCGTATACTTGACTTAAAAAATACTTTTCTAC